CACGTCTATGTTCTTCCTCAAGGTGCCGTCCCCGCTAAAGAACACAGAGCAGACAGCAGCACCAGTCAGACACATCCTCAGTCTGGCCCGAGGCACTGGAACCACCCAGAGATTCCCCCCCCCACACTTTCTCACAGGGCAAACAAATGTCTGCCAAGCACAATCTGTCTAAACGCCGGGCTTTAGCTGACTGTTCACATCCCCGCTGCCTCGCTCCGTCTTCATCAGCGCTTCTCCTCCCCTCCCTCGCCCTCTGTTGTGTTTGGCAGGAGCTCCTGGCTTCAGCACCACAGCTGGCTAAACTCAGACAGCATTTGCAAACAAACGCAGTTCTGTTTTGGCCATGAAATGCTGCTGGGCTTCAAGAGGATGGAGGATGTGTTTTACCACTAACCCCGTACCGGATCATGAAGAACAAAAACATATTAACAGCCCTTTGTAAGAACTTGTAAATAGGCGGCATTTGACCCGACAGGGCGGAGGCCCCGTCTCCATCTGTCACACAAAATCTCCCGCCAATCCCCCACACATACAGCAGAGCTCATCAACCATGTTTCCATCATCATCCACTTCCTCCACAGACTTCCAAACTCTAACACGTGTCAGTGACGCAGACACAACACAGACGCATAAGACAGCCCTCTGCTGACCTGCAGGGAACGTCACACAGGATGCGGTCGTAGAAGAGGGTGTCCTTCTTGCCGTCCAAGTCGATCCTGAGCGTGGGGATGCAGGAGGCGTCGTGGTTCACCACCATGATGCAGGGGCTGTTGAGACGCTTGGCTTGGTGCACAAGCAGGTAGCAGCGCTTGTTGTCCACGTCGTTGGCAATGACAAAGCCCTCTGGAGGTAGAGGAGCAGATAAATGTCAACTACTGTTAAGTGGCAGGGACTGCTGATTATCTCCCTTTTATTTCCTATCACATACAAAGAAATCAGTTATTGAAGCAGCTTTCCTTACCTGGAAACGGCACGTCCATGTCAGAATGGAGCATCTCGATCAGCTGGGCTGTCTTCGACCCTGGAGCTGCACACATGTCCAGGATCTGCACAGGAACAAATGCATGTCAACACTTCAAATCAGCTGTTTTCGAGCCAAAAGGAAAGTGTTCAACAAAGGGGCACGAGGGACAAAAAAACCTTATAGACTATATTTAATCCTCAAAGAAGGCTGTGCTGTTACCTTGTGGTGCGACTCAATCTTCAGGAGGAGAGGAGGGATCATACTGACAGCTTCCTGTCGGCTGATGTTACCCTGAAAGGACAACAACAAAAAACGATGCTGAAATTCAGTTTCCTTGTTTCCCCCCCACCCCCAACTCCCTATCCAAGGTGAATTTCGTGAATACAGACAATATGAACACCTGCAATACTCCTGTTTTAACTTCTTCAACATCGAACTTAAATAGAACTTTCCGTTTGGTTTGTGTTGACTCACCGACTCGGTCTCGCTGACCAGAAACTGGTGGAACTTCTCCAGCAGGGGAGACTTCCTAATGATCTTCCTGCTCATGTTGGTGTGCCAGGCCTGCTCGTCGGGATACCTGGAGAGGATACACCACAATGTGCACCGAGCTTCTGCTTTGAATCTGGGTGTTATTAGCCTTGAGTAAACCAAGAGGTCCTACCAGCTCAGAGGCTGTGGAGCCTCAATCTTCTGACCATCGATCTCCACCTCTTGAATATCCTTAAAGTATTTGTCCTTCAGACAGTGGAGGATTTCTTTGGCATGGCTGGAATAAGACAGAAAGGAGGACAACAACTTGCATTAGGGAGCAGTAATCCAAGTCACAATTAGTTCAAAGCCCTGACAAACATTGGAGCGTGGATCCAGGTGATGTACACGTGCAAAACTGTGAGTTTACTTCTACATAGCAACTGTCAGTCATGCCTTACTCTCTCACATCTATCATCATACACAATCTTAATCAATTATAGTTAAATAACACGGTCTAACTGTCTCCTGCAGCTTAACACAAATAGTGAATTTATAATAAGGACTTTATCTATGTTTATCCTAAAAATATGGGAAATCAAACAGTGAAAAATGTAAAAGACTACAACGTTTTCTTAACTTTCCAGCAAGAAAATGTATGTTAATCGTGCAGCATCTTGCATGGCTTTGAGCGGGACTCATTGTCTGAATCCAGGTAACAAATCTGTCCGGCTCACCTCTTGTATCCAGTGATGCGGATGGTTGCTGGCAGCGGTTCCCTCATTGCATCCATGAACTGACCAAACTCCCCAGCAGGCACCAGGCCGAGCTCTTGGTAGTAGTGTTCAAACAGCTTATTCTCCTTGACAATGTCAGCATAGCCTTTCCCCCAGCCCTGAACACACAGGCGCATAGTCATTAGCATGTATGGGACACATCTACTGAATATTGAGTGTAGACATAACTGGAAAAAACACCTACTAATGTAGTTGTAAATGCATGTTTTGCATGAGAGAAAAGTTACATTAAATGTCACTAACAGTAGAGCTCTGTGAAGTTGCAGCTGGTTAGCATAGCACAGCATAACTACGCACGCTTAAGTTTAAGATAACCTGTGAGATACACGGCCGTGTTCGTCGCAGCTCATTTTGCATTCAGTAAATGAAAAAGGTAGCATAATAGGAGGCCTGTTGAGCACTTTACACACACAACATTAGCAAAAAGTTGCAGCTGCAGAAGTGTGAATCTTACTGCGTTGTCTCTGTCGTCCCCTTTAGTATTCTGGTTTTTCTGCCGCTGCCTGCTTCTTTTCCCCATGTTGTTGTTGTTGTTGTTGGAAAAGCAGAGCACTCTGGAGGAAAGTCTGCGGAGCGTCGTGGTGGTCTGGACGCCGAGAATTGTAGCCTAAAACTCGGATGAAAATGCGAGTCTGGTGAACGTGCGACGATGAACTGCGACGCTTGTTGTATCCTCGAAACGTGTTACCTCTGACGCACGTGAATCAGGACCCCTGTCGAGGTGGCCATCAAATATGCCTGAAATAAAATAATCAATTGTGATAAAGTATCACACCTAAATAAGACTATTTTAATTCCTTTATGAATATTTATTGATGACATCAGACACCACACCACGTTGAATAACTCCGATGGAGAAGCGATCATTTTGATTGGCTGATGAGACCCAATGACGTTGTATATTCCCTGTATGTTAAGGGACTGTGATTGGTGCTGAATCGGGAACGCGTGAGTCAGTCTCGTGTGTCCACTATAGCACTCCAGTGTTTACCTCAGTGGTAGCGAGCAATACGGCATGTTATCAAATAGTTGCATGTAACATTTCCATCGTTTGTATAATTAGTTTTGTAACATTAGCGCTTCCGCCCATGATGGACGCGCTCCTGTCCTGGCTCTTCACCTCGGAGGAAGAGGAGCTGTACGTGTTGGACTGCTTGGCTTACCTGATAGTTTTCATGGCAGCCATCACTTTTGTTACACTGCTTTTCGAAAACGTCCCATACGGGCGGTATGCTACCAGCAAATATGGATTCCCAGTTAACGCCCGGTTGGCTTGGTTCATCCAGGAGCTGCCTGCGATCCTGGTGCCTGTGTGTCTGGTAGTTTGGACATCCTCTGCGAAAACCTCCCTGCTGCCCAACCAGCTGCTCATCGCCATGTACTTCTGCCACTATGTCCAGAGGTAAGTCATTACAATCGATTAAATAATGATGTTACACCTGGAGGTGTATTAAAGTGTTTCACCAGCACTAAGTGGAAGACACTTTAATAATATAATAAATATCTGAATGATTAGATGCAGTTAGTTAATTTTAATATTATTATATTTCATTGTGTATATATTGTGCATTTTCATTTTTATATTTTCAGTTTTATTATTATTTTTTTTTTTTGCTGCAGGTCCCTTATTTATCCATTTTTAATCCGAGGAGGTAAACCAACACCATTCGCCTCATTTGCCCTGGCCATAGTTTTCTGCATGTACAATGGCTACATGCAGATCAGGTACCTGAGCCATTACGCTGAGTACCCGGCACACTGGGTTACACATCCATGCTTCATTGCAGGTTGGTGTTCTGTGTCTGCCACCTCTCTTTCTGCCAGGGAAATGGGAATTGTTGTGTTTTGCATGAGATGTTGTTTAAAATGGATCTGGGTGTATGGAAGCTCATTTACGCCACTGTGATGGATTTTAAAAAAAGTAAGTCATTATAATGAGAAACTATCTTAAAATAATGAGTTAGTATCCTAAAATAATGACTTAGTATTTCAAAATAATGAGTTAGATTCTCAAAATATTGAGAACTGTCATCATTTTTTTTGTGGCCATGGGCTTCCACTTGCTTCTGTTGTTTTGGTGAATATGGAAGGCCATTTACGCATTTATGTGATGAACTGTTGAACTAAGTCATTATTTTGAGATACAAAGTCAAAATATTGAAGCTGTATCAAATCAATGTGTGTTACATTATTAGCATAGGAGAAATAAAAGCAAAACTCATATTTTATATTGACAATTACAATAATATACAAGGATAAGAGAGGGTGCAGTGGTGTGTACACTATAAGAAGAATGCTCCAGTTAAACATTTAAATTTAACGAAAATCATCAAGTAGAAGTAAAAAAAAAATAATAATAATACTTAGTTGATAGACTACTGAAAGTACAAGTTGCTGTGTGTTTTAATCTAGTGTGTGCAGATTAGTGTTAAATGGTATAAAAATAGCACTGACTGAAACGTTCTTTATTGATTTATGGAGGAACAGAGTACGATGCACAGTCGGGATAACAACCTCTTGCCATCTCTTCCAGTTCATCCCTACTACCCTTCTGTCCTCTTCTCTTCCCTTTTTCTATTTTAAATTAAATGAGATGGCAAGACTTTGCTTAAACACATAGCCTTCATTCAAACTCTTTTGTCCATCTTGCCATTTTCCTCTTTTGGTTTTGCTCCGCTGCAGGTGCCTCCCACACTTTCAAAACCTCAAAGTGCTCAGCAGTTTTTCTTGGCTCCCCTTGCTGTTCAAGCTAACTCAGGAAACTGTCAATTTAGAATATATCTATATTTTATTTTATTCATGCAGTGTGCCATGTAATGAGTTTATTGTAAGCATTGTAGGCCAATGCAGTAACAATACTAATGAATACTTTGTGTACATGCTGTAACTATTATAGAAATGTTAAAGAAACGTGCTCATTCGCTTTCTTTTTTTAGAGTTGGATAACAACACTGAGCTCAAACCGGGCTCGTGTCTGTGCATGTAGTGCTGAGGCGATTAGCTTAGCTTAGCATAAAGATTTGAACCAGGAGGTATCGATCTGCTCGTCTCACTCTTGGAAAGAAGGCAAATAAGTAGTGTGTGAGAAGTATTTCTCTACAAAATGTCGTACTAAAGCAGCTTCTGGTTGGTTGGTCTTCAGGGTCTGTACTGTGGTTGTTCGGCTGGCTGGTGAATGTGCACTCTGACCACATCCTGAGGAACCTGAGAAAGCCCGGAGAGACCGGTTACAAGATCCCCACAGGTAAGGGCTTTAGTTCTGAAAACACTGGGCCCAATCATTGCTCTCACCACAGCGAACACGTCTGTTCCTCCTGTCACAGTGCATCTAACTTTCAAAGAGGAAAACCTGATGAGAAGTATACAATAATGAACATTTATTCAAGCGCTGCATTTATATATCATTTGCACTTTTATGCCTCTACAATATTGTACTTTTACAAGCTATATTATTGTCATTGTACAACAAAATGCAGATTGCAGTTCCATTTTGCTACACAAGAAAACATAAAAAACATGTAAAACTTTATCATGTGTGGAGGGTGAATTCTCACAGCCTGAGGAAAGAAGCTGATTTTCTTATATCTATGATGGCTGCAGTTAGTAGTTACTGGAGCAAAATATGACGATAATATAAAAATACTCATATTTAACAGACTGGACCATTCTTCAGAGTGAGTATTATTCAGTTTGAATGCAGGACGCTGTTAAAGTAATACTTCACTTGCAAAATGACCGTTTGTACATCAATTACTCACTCCGTGTTACCTTGAATTCTCGAAGAAAACGTTTTCTCGCATGCCTCCACAGTGAACGACGAACCAAAAAGCAGAGAAAAACGCATGCACTCCGCTATAACTTTACTATATTAAATAGGGCTGGGCCAAAAATCTTCTGTAACGATACATAGGTCATTTCATATCTCGATAATAATAGGAAGATTATCATTGTGGCATAAAATTGGTGATAAATATCACAATCTTTCATGTCAACAACCCATACATCACGATACAGCATGTTATCTGGTCATCAAATAAATACATAGATAGTCTATATGAAAAAACAGATGGTTTTGTATACTCTTGTGTAAATTCTATACTTTTTAAAGTAATAGAGTATTTTCTTATTTGATTAAGAACTTAAGTGCAAAAATAATCAGATTTTCTGAGAAATAAAGTTAGTGTGCTTGGTATTATGAATTTAGACAACGTAATTGTGTATGTTGTTTTATGATCCCATTGAAAACGATAAATTAACATATTGCATTATCTCCCCGCTGTTATTTAATAGATAAGGAACGCTCATGTGTAAGCATGAGACTGTTTAGGTGCATGTTTTTAAATATTAAGGTTTTAGTGAAGATGCATGTGTTTAACTGGATAAATGAGACTTTGATTAAGCTACACAAGATGTGTGAGTTTGTAAACAGATGTTTTGATATATTAGTTACTGTTTTAAAGCATCCCTCATTTACTGAAATTCATCAAGACATTTTTTGATTCTTCGTTCACCGTGGAGGCATCCGAGAAAAACAAAGTTTTCTTCAAGAATACAAGGTGACATGGGGTGGTGACTAGTTACTATACAAATGGTCATTTTGTGGGTGAAACATTCCTTTTTAAAGCCACATTCTACACTGAGATGCTTCCACTTTCCCCACCACCGTCGCAGGGTGACAAGAAAGCCGTAATCGCGTCATGGCACAGAACTCTGTGGTCCTTGTACACAGCGCTAGATGCTAATTTTCCAGTGCGGTCGCGTGATTATACAGAATCCCACTGTAAGCAGAATCACAGGTTGTCAATAGTTATCTTTTTCTCCCTGCCTTGCCCTCTGCGAACCCTCACATTAGCATTTAAAAGGGATCTTGCTGCCTTGACTCGCAGTGTGTGTGTGTGTGTGTGTGTGTGTGTGTGTGTGTGTGGGGTTTTGCTTGACTTGACACAGAACCGCACAGTGTTTATAGTAATCATGTTAGACAGGAAGCCAGCCCCACACGGGAACATGGACATTATACTGTATATGTCTGTCGACGGACTCTAGATGCACGCTAAATAAAGCACCCGGTCTATTGCTTATTTGCTCAATACAACGCTCGTGTTTGTACAGTAAATATGAAGCTGCAGCCGCTTAGCTTAGCTTAGCTTAGCATAAACACTGGAATCAGAACAAAGTGTGCCAACCAGCACAGCTAAACTGCGCCAATGTATGTGTTTATATATCTTGTTTGTTCAATCCATACAGAAACAAAGTGTAAAAACTAAAGGTTCACAGAGCCAGGCTAGCTGTCTTTGTGTAAAGCTAAGCTAACGGGCTGCTGGCTCCAGCTTCATGTTGAACACACTGATATGAGAGTGGTATCAATCTTCTCATCTCGCTCTCAGCAAGAAAACAAGCAAGCTTATTTTACCCAAAACATGGAGCTGTTCCTTTTAGGGCGAGGGATATCACTCTGCTTGTATCAAATGAACATTTCTGAAAATTCTTCAAACAATTCACAGGAAAAACAGCGGAGAGAATGTTTTGATGGTGGATATTTCTGTCGAGTGTTTGACCTTTTTACTGTGTGAAAATAGATGCACGTTCTATGAGAAGTGACAAGTAAAGAGGGGGGGGGTTAGCAAGATTCCCATCTCCAAACTGCTTCTGACAAATAATCTTGAGGGTTGAATATAGTGGAAAAGCGAAAAGTGCTGCTTTTTTAGATCACATAATTAGATTTTCCCTTTCCTAACTGAATCAGTAATCACAACAGGTTCACAGAGAGAGGGGCTCCACCCTGACTAAGAACATAGTCACAACAATAGCACCTTGAGCCTGAACTTGCGGTGAACTTGTTGAAAACAATCCGTCCTGGACCCTCAAGGAAAATAAAGCGGAGAAGGGGCGAGGCGGGAGGAAGCTGTGAGCCGCGCTGCTCCCAATGAACTTCCAGGCACGTCTGGAATCCCCTCAGCCAAGAATGCCATTTTCACATGGAGGGTAGCAACGCGACAAATGGCCTGCAGTCAAAGAGGCAGTGCTCAGCTGAATGCAGAACTGAAACATGAGGTCTGGGACCAATGTTTCGAGAGTGCACATGATTGCTCGCTCAGTGTCAGACTTAGGTCTGATATACAGTTTCTCTATTATTCCAGGGAAAAGTTGCGCAGCTTTTCTGCTGATGTTTGTAATCAGTTTTAAGTCTTTTAATCCGTAATTCAAACACGTTCTTTCTGGTCATGCAGTAAACTCGACACATATTGGAAAAGCATCTTTCATTGTTACTCCTGATCCGCTCATAGCAACAAGCTCATCTCTTGCCAATGAGTATGAGAAATGAACTGTTATGTTTGGAATGGTGATTTTCGAAAAACTTAATTTTGTGAGTGTGAAAAATGGACTCGCGTAAGATTTATGATTGAGAGAAATGGCATTCACATTGCATCTTGGGAGACTGAGGTTTCATAAGATACGATAGAGGAGGTGTGTTTGATAAGATCTGTTTCACTTTGCACTTTATTCCGTTTTTTAACACTTTTGCTCTGTTAAAAAATAACTTCTTTGTTTTTTACGGCTATGGTTGTTGTTATTACCCAGGATGTGCTGTGTCCGTTTGTGCGTTTTTTCTTTCTTGTTTTTTTCCGCTATGCTCTCGTAAATGATTAACACATATTTAGAAGACTGGAGCTGTGGAGCTTGTTGTGTGGATGCCATTTGAGTTTATATTATCGTGCAGACTTTAAACTACATTGAGAGAACGTTGAAATGTCAGAACTCATTCAGTACTGAATTGTAGGGACGCACATATGGATTTATTTTTTTTTTTTTCAGCCGATACTGATAACCGATCATTACTTGCTTCTTAGGCCGATACCTACATTTTGGGTGTTTTAGAAAGAAGTTCATAACCTGTGGATTATTATGCAGGTAAGAAGGCTATGTAGCGAGCAAAGATGGATGATTTAATATTCCATAGCTTCAATGAAAGTAATTTAGCTTTCTATTATTTAGTTTGATAAATTATCGGCTATATTTTCATTATCGTAATAATACATAATAAAATACATTTCCCAATATTGGGCCCAGTATATATCGGACATCCCTAATTGTTCAAAATCAAATCGAACTTCATCCCATTTTATGTTTTAATGCCTCCGTGCCAGGAGCAGCAGCAACAGCCTTGGCCGATGGCTGAATGTTTTCAGGTTGTCCGTTCGTCTCTGCGTCCGTCCGTATCATTCTAGTGAACGGGATAACCCTGAAAAGTCTGGAGGGAATTTCTTCAAATTTGGCCCAAACATCCTCTTGTGCTCAAAGACGAACTGATTCTAATTTGGTGGTCAAAGGTCACTGTGTTTTTGGCTACAACTCAAGAATTCTTATGCTAAATAAGACAATTTCCCAAAAAATGTTTCAAAAGATGGAATGTAATTCTGGTTTCCAGAGGGAAATATTTGGGTTGTTTTTGCCTCAGTGGACGTATGAAAGGATAAGCATACCTGTCCTGATCCCTGTGTCTTCCACCCACAGGCGGAATGTTTGAATATGTGTCCGGAGCCAACTTCTTAGGAGAGATAACAGAGTGGGCAGGCTTCGCTCTGGCTGGCCACTCCGTTCACAGTTCAGCTTTTGCCATATTTACCACAGTGGTCCTCGCCAGCAGGGCTGTGGCCCATCACAAGTAAGAATCATAACACACACACACACGCACACACACAGTAAGCAGGTTTTTATGGTGTGGTTCACACTTTGAAGCAAATACTTGTATTAACGACAGAAACTTTTTCCCTCTTTCTCCAGATGGTACCTCGCTAAGTTCGAAGACTATCCTAAACATAGGAAGGCACTGATTCCCTTTCTGTTCTAAAAAGCCCATGGGCACAGGAAGCCTGAAAAGGCACTGGTTCTTACAATGGCAGCAAAGAACATTGCCACAATGTTTTTTAATATAATATAATATATCTTGAAAATACAGTTTGTCTTTTTTATTGCTGCAAACAAAATTAAACACAAGCTGTATGATTTGCGAGTGATCTTATCTGAGCCGCACACAAATACATATACATTTATTTTTTACCTTTGCTCACGACTGTAATGTCCATAAAGCCAAATTACCTCAACAACCATGAACTGAATGCACTGGAAGTGCTGTGTTTGCTGGTGAGGCAACATTTAGCGCTCCTCCGGAGGAAGTGAGATAGCGAATGTAGCATACCCCAACTGTAGTACAGTGGATTTATAACACTCTGCACCGGCAATAAACACTTTTAAGACTCTTCCCTGATCTGCATATTCTCCCAGATGGAACATAAACTTGGAAATGCAAAGCAGACACTTTAAGTTTTCCTTCTTTCTCGAGAGTCGTCTGTTGCAAATGCAACTTTTTTAGATCCATTAGATGAAAGACAAAGGACCTCGAATTCCCAACACATTTTTCTCTGGGTGCCATCAGAAAGACTTTTCTAATCACCTCATCATCTCAAAGTCCAGAGATAAGGTCAAGCGTGGGCCTCAATGACTCACTCATGCCTGTAATGAGAAGGAGAAGAGAGTGTCGCCTAAACACATCGCTCCTGTGAAGGGCTTCTGAGAAGAAGAAGAACTGCTGAGTGTGAAAGCAGGAGCATGTTGAGCATAAACCACTCTGATTGGATGAGTTTGTGTGTGACTGAATGAAGAGAGGAAGCCTGGGACAAAAGATGAGATTGAAACATTGCAATCGATCGTAACATCTCTTCTATTCTATTATTGCGTCATAATCACTAATTACCATGAGCCATATAATCTGATCAGTGTGGGTTAGGACTTTTCTGGAAGCAGTGTCTTTTTTTAACGATACTAATAATGCGATCTGCCTTGTTCTCAGTGTTCCTTTAAATAAATGTAGATAGGAAACAAGTGCAATTATCGTATTGCTTTGGGAAATCCATATGCAAGTGAAAATGACATAATTGCATTGAAGCACATTTTACGTTCCACAGTGTAAGGATCCCAAAAAGCGACTCCCATAACTCTTGAACAGTTCTCCCTTTCCCCAGTGGAGGACATTCTCCGACACCATGTTACAGCCAAGGCCACGTGATTATGGATTGTATTAATTATGTTGCTTTTGAAAAGATGCTGTCATCGTTTTTACTCGTCAATAAATAATAGGACGTCCGAGTGTGATGAGAAACGAAGGCTGTGTGCCGCTGAAGGCCACGCGGAGTGGCATCCTTCATGTCCGAGGTCTCCACCTTCTCTCTCTTACTCTTCCAGGCTGTTTCCTCTCTGTATCCTCTTTGTCCACGCTTCTTGTAATTGCATCACTATATTACACAGCCAGCATTTACTGAACCTGCCATCTGAGTAGAACACCATTCATCTTCAGGCAAGCGCCAATGGATTTTCTTTTCATATGCAAAGCATGTGAGTGAACCGGCTTGTAATCATAGACTGTATAGAAGACGTGGACGTAGTCACCTTGACGTCACACTTTGGCTTGTGGTCTGCCGTTTTGAAGCCTCGAGTTTGCTATTTTACTGTAGCCATCTTGGCTTTTGCAACCAGAAGTGAAGGGGGTGGAGCCAAGTACAACGGAAATCTGAATTAAAACCGAATTATTATAATACATTTATTTAATTTTTTGTTTTTCTGGAGCTTTTGGACGAAAAAAAATTGAAGAACAAAGTACGTAAATTTATTTAATAATGCAAAAAATGTATTGATCGATTAAAAAATAATTCGTTGCAGAGTTTGGTGAAATTACAATGTTAAGTTATTTTTACCCTTTTTTGGGACTGTTTGTGTGTGTTTTCACAGAAAACATGCTCCGGTTAATGCACGTTTTGCTGGTTTAAAATGTGTGAAAAGCATGATATCCAAAAAGCAAAATATGTAGAAAATAAAATAAAATGGAAAATAAGCAATGCATTAAAACGTTGAACCTCAGTTATTGCCTGCAGGTGGTGCAGGTGTTAAAATTAATGAAGCTATGTTTTTCCTTGCCGGTATATGTCACACATCAGCATGGCTTCAGGTCTAAACAGCCAGCTGTTACTTTTCTTGCATTTTCTGGTTGCAGGTTGGCTGGAACTGCAGGTCCAGATTTGTAGTTCTGAACCTCCAGGAGCTGGGTCCATTGTTTGTTGCTGTATAAAACCCCCACAGTGTGGCTGATGCACCACAGGCAATATGTTCATGTGTAGCAATGTGAAATAGCTGTTGATAGAACAGTGAAACTACAGCTCTCCACTAATGTGGGTTAAATATGTGGAACATGCTGCAGCCTCATTATCATTCAAGCCACATGCAGTCTCAGACTACTGCATGCTTGCTTAATATTATCTGCTATTACTGTTATGCCTGAGAGCCTGTTGACTTTTCCAGCCCTGTCTCTGTCTGTATATATATATATGTGTGTGTGTGTGTTGGGCATCTGTCAGCTACGGTCTGGTCGCCACCAATGTGGTAATCCCATAAAAGCTGACAATGAGGCAAACCAGCCTTGAAATGACACACACACACTGGCACACAGTCGGTGTTGCCGTTTGGCTTGAGCCGAGACTGTGACGTGAGACATGAGAGGAACAACCTATTCAGTCTGGTGTTACACTCACAACGCCCGTGTTTCACACAGCGTTGGATGGAGGGAGATGGGAAGAAGAGCCTAGATCTACACAGGCGTGCAGCAGGAGTGAGCAGCTGTGTGTATACTGTATGTCTGAGTGTGTTACACAGAGAGCTACATATCCTAGCTGACACATAGTTTGCTCTGGGGTTTTTTTCCTTGACTCTGTCACATGCTGCACGTGAGTAGCAGGGGTTGGGCGCGGGCATTATGCAAGACTCTCTTTTAGGTATACTGGTTAGTCCTCATCCAGCCTGCCTCGGCTCCATCACAGAGCCTAATGGGCTGGGAGATGGCTGTTTCTGGGGCCGGGTGGTTTACAGAGTGTGGGATGATCAACACCACCTGCTGCGTGTTGCCCCTCGAAAATCAGCGTTTGGATCCACGGGGCAGCAGAGTACATCTGGAATAATAAACAGAAAAAAAGGAGCTCCATTTGCGCTTAGACAGTGAAGGAAAAAAAAAAAAGTGTGTTACCCTGTGGAATGCAGAGTTTGTATGTATGTGAGCAGCATTTCAAGGGCCAGAGGTGGTGATTGTGGCCCCTGGCAGTATGTGAGGTGGCAGCTGACAACACAATATGGTCTCCCTCTCTGTCTAATGTTTATGTAAATTGTATTGCAGAGTAATGTTTCCTATCATTTCTAGGGTTTCACATGTTTACAGTGTGGGTATTTCTCTGCCGGGCTTACCAGGACAGGCAGATTCCCTTAATGGACCCCAAATCCACAGCTTTGAATATTCATAGATACGTGATATTTTTTTCATATGTGCCAATACTAGAATTTATACAGTTAATATGCCCAGCCTCATATTGATAGGGGATGCCCTATGAACCCCCCACCCATTCCCTCCTCCCTTTGAAGAGAGAGTAGTCTTTATAAGGCTTCAAGAGCCACTGAGCCACAGGACCCTTTATTCATTATTAACGATGCACCGTGGACTCATTACTTGTTGTGCATGTATTCAAAAAAGAAAAGAAAAGGAAATATGTATGCCGTGCAATTCATCAATCGGCCGGAGGGATGGAAGGTGTGGGCGTATGGGGGTTTTAAGAAATCCCTCGTAGTGCGCATGCGCATAGATTTGAAGCGAATACGCCATATTGAATTCCCGTAGGAAACGACTAGCATTTTTTTTTTCTCCCCCAGCTAGCGGTGTAACGGGGACAGTTTCTCAATGGTTCCTAGTTCGGTTTAATGTTTAAATACTTCTCTTTTCGTCACCCCGGACAAAGCGGTACCCGTTGAGAGGTCCAGGCCGCAGGCTCGGTAGCGTGCATTAGCTATACTTGTAGGAGGGGGTGTTACCAGAGAGAGAAGTTGAATGGATCCGAGGGTAGCTTGGATTCAGCCCGAACAGAAAGGACCTGCGAACGCCTTATGGATGCACGTCTGGGAGACCTCTCAGGGAGTACGGACACTCTCCGCTCAGCACCACCAGCTCCACAACCAGAACCACAACCAGTGCGTGAATTACGCAGCGTTGGATGTTTTAAAAAATGTGGCCACCGCGGTGGTGGCATCGGGCAACAAGAAGAGCATTTGCAGCAGTAACGTTACTGCCGGTTTGAGCAACGGCAGCAGTAGCCATCGCAGCATCATAAACGGCACTACTACTAGTATTAATGGCACTGCGCTGTCCAACGGGAATGTAACACACAACTCTTTCACCGCGACGCACGCAGCTGATCCAGGATCCGTCTCGTCGTCGTCGTCGTCCTCGCAGGAATCCCGGACCGACAGTCCGCCTTCTTCCAGCTGCTCGCTCGAAAGGACTACTACTGTTGGAAATGCACCGGGCAACGTTAATAAAAACGTCGGGGGTGCCAATCTGCTCTTCAACGTGAGGGACAGCATGGACAATAATGTCAACCTTTACCACCATCATCGCCACCATCATCATCATCACCTACAACAGGAGCACCCGGCTTTTAATTTACAGCAGATTTGCGTGAAGCGCCATCAGGTCCACCCCTCTCCTTTACCTGTAAACCACACACACAACCATCACCACCCGGGCCGGAGGAAAATTGACAACAAAGCGAGCACTTATGGGATGAATTACTTGCTTTCAAACTGCACTAATGGCAATTACGCGAGCACTTGGACGCCTTGGAAGACGAGGAAGTACAGCCCCGGGGTCCTCGGGTGAGTGAACACTTATCACTGCTTTTTAGGATTTAGAAGGTTGACGTTGACATCTGTCGTTTGAATTGTTAAAAAGCCGTTGGGAATTTGTATTTTGTTGCATGTGTCAAGTATCATTGTACATGACGTTCCAACGTGATGTAGCTATTCGTTTCCCCAACGCAGTAAACGCGATCTACGTTAGCAGCGTAAACTGGAGTTGGGCTGTTTGCTGGATAGCTAAAAAAAAAAGGCTACCGTTAGATTAGTTGCGTAAAGAGCCCGGAAGTGCTCAGATTTTTGTCTGCTCAAGTTTGAACTGTGCCGTTAAATAAAAAAAAAAATGTACAAATGTACAACTAACTATTGATGAGTACGATTTAAAAGACATGCATTAATGGGAAGTGTATAACAATACACATAATCACAGCATCAAGTACTCTTTTGTAGTGTTTGGAGATTTATTTAGAAGGTTTTGACCGGATATGTAATCCGTTGGTTACCGTTAGCATGACTGATTAGCCTATAGCTAGCTCAGCTAACGGCTTTTCCCCTTTTGTCTCCACATTGAAGTTGGGAAACTAGCAATTTTAAAAATTAAATCGATAATCTTTCGTCAAGCAAATAAGAGTGAGCCGAATGAAATATAAAACGCTAAATAGCTAACTGGAATAATTATAAAATACTACGACCAGGTCTTAGCTAATGGGGTTGAATAACACTAAACTTATGTTAATGTTGGGTGAATTTATGTGCCTGAACTATTCCTAATGACTTGATCATAAAAGTTACATTTAGAGTATGATACAACTTTAAAGGAGGAGCATTGATATTGTATGTTTCAGTAGTTTTCATAGCATTTCATTACACTTTACAGTTTACTTCAAAAGTGAAGTTTATTAATACGTTAAGTTGTGCAGTCTTCTTTGAATTCATTGTGTTAAAGTTCTGGACAGTTGGCCTTTTTAAACTCTGGTTATTCTGGGTACAGTTATGGTTTACTCTCTTTTCACAGGTTGTTCCTCATGGAGCTCTCTCAGGGTGACATAAGATATGTCCCAGACAGGCTGGGACATACTGTACATATCTAGTAACGTAACGTTACACTGTTGGTGTAGTAAGAGCAGTGTAACTGAATATAATATGATTTGTTATGTTATCATGGTAGGTATTATGCTCTGGCAGAAGCCTTCATCCATAAGAAATGACAGAGGAACTCCCAGATGTGTTGCACGACCTTGTGATATTTGTAATGGCTGGTTGCACCCATCTAACTTCTTAATTAATACTGCGTACTGCAGGTAGTGAATTAATAAAAAGGTGTGCTTTTCTTCAGGTATTTGTGTTTGCACACGTTTTTCTGATGCAAGTTTTGACTTGTGCACTAATAAGTCTTGCAGTAGCTTGCCTCCAGGGGCTCTGTTTGAAGTCACACACACAGAGGGATCTGCCCTTCAGATTGAAAATGCTAATACTTGTGCGGTGGTGCTGTCTTGATATTGTGAAGATCAGAGTAGGTTTGGCTTGATAACAAACTCTGGTCATGTACTGCACCTTTGAAGACTGTTTATTACTTTAACACTGGGTCCTAAAGTTATGTTTGACCCTAAACTATTTTTTTCAGGGATGGCTGCGACAGCAGTTCTTCTGACTGTGGGTGGGGGCCCAACAATTACCATGGCGGGCTGTTGGCATGTAAACACCCTGGTCTGCTGGCAGAGAGTTTTGAACCAAAGAGTGGGCACATCATGGGCTGACTGCATATCCTCCAGGGCTCTTGTAATTGATTGCGACAGTCTCCCTGTTCTGTATTTCACACTGACGTCATGGTATGCGTTCCTAGAAAAATGAATGGCCACGGGGTTGAACAGAGTTCCACTGTTCTAAAGCATTTGACCGGTCAGAAATCTTTAGATTCAGCCCAAACACAAAACCATACCATAGGGCAATGATTATGAAGCCTGTGACTTCAGGCGTACTGGGTGATGGGGGCCTTTGTGTTAAAGTTGAGTAAAACACTCAGGGCCATGTCGGCTCTGTGAGGGTTTAAAATCCTCAGAAAACCTTAAAGGTGTGTTGTACCTGTCTCTTGATGAGGAACACATATCCTCAATGATGGTAAGATAAGACTTCTACAAAAACCTAGACCGTGACCACTTTTGTTGTGTCTTATTTCTCGTGGTTATGTTAAGCTCTGTGGTTTGTGTTATGTATAGGGCTACGTGTAGTATTACGGTTAGGTTAGAGAAAAAGGCTCGGACTCAAATGATATGTGATCCTAAAAAACTTCTTTGTTCCGTCACACTTGAGCAATTTTTTTCCCCGGCGGCTCCTGTTTGCACATCGTATTGTTAAATAAAAAACTAAAACCTAAGTGGCTCCCAATGGGCAGGCCAGCCACACAGTGTATGAATGGTAGAAAGGTGCTACATAAATGCACTCTGTTTACCTTTTTCATAAGTACAGCACCAGATTAGGTCTTTGTCTGATCAGGTCTGCAGTAAAGTAGCAGCTATCAAAACTCATGCAGCATACAGCAGCGTTACTTTGCTTCCTCGGCTCTGGGCTGATGGGGGTTAACCTGCACCGTGATAAGAAGGAGGCATATCTTGGGCCATCTGGAGAGGTTTTTTTTCATCTTTTTCCAAACTGTAAGCCAAAAATGTGTGAATGCGTAAGTCAGTCTTTTTAGAAGATACCCTCATATGATTGTTAGTTATGTATAACTTCACAATAAGAAATGTGAAACACTCAAAATGAAAAGAGATATTTCACATCATGTACAGTTCCTTCTCTCAATCCAGGCGTCGTCCTGCTCTGTGTGGAGCATAATAACTGTGACTGAGGTGAGAATAACCGTTGCCCGTCTCCCTCTTAGACTCCATGAGGAGGTGATGGACCTCTACAACTTCATGTCTCCTCGGCCAGAGGAAGCAGCTATGAGGAAGGAGGTGGTGAGCCGGATAGAGATGATCATTAAGGAGCTGTGGCCCACTGCAGATGTAAGAGACACACACACACACACACACGTGTCATGAACTCTTTCTCGTTTGGGACCAGTGACCTTCTGGAGGCAACTGATCCTGAGACAACGTCTCTCAAAGGAATATTTCTAAATAGAGCTGGAGGACCCTGCAGCTGGTTGAGAAGTAGTGTTGATGTAATGCCCCTCTCTTTACTTCATCATGTGAAACACACGCAGTGGTGATTTGTTGGCTGCCACTCTTCCCTCCTCCCACCGTGAGCCAGAGTGTCGGGTAAATGGATCAAGCCCCTGATTTGTACCAGCCTCCCTTTTCATTTCAGCCTATTAATCCCGGCCTGTCTTTGTGCTCTGGCCTCGTCGTATTCACCAGACGGAAAGGGAGAGAACTCCACTCTGCTTCCTTTTGGAGAGCTTTCACTTGCAGACCCCAAAAGGACTTTTTTTCTAACTATTGTGTACTTAATTTGGCACCTTTACTGTCCCTGAAGTGGGAATACTGAGTTCTTGATAGTTTGCAGAGATGGAAACCTTTTCTGAATCTGAAAATGAATGTGCTTGTGGAAAGCACCTGTGGTTGAAGCCGCTCTCTTCAAGTGGATAGATTGTGCCGTAATGCCCCCAAAATCAAACTCTCTCAATCCTTAACCGGCTCTGTCTTTAACAGATGAACCACTCAGATTTTTGCTCATTTTCATATTTCTTCATCATTGTTGTTTCCAGGTCCAAATATTTGGCAGCTTCAGCACAGGGCTGTACCTTCCAACAAGGTAAGACACTAGTATTAATGTAAACTTTATCCCTGGTGTGTTTTCGTGGCCAGTATTTTAACGTCCCGAATGTTGTTTTTTTTCCCCTCAGCGACATTGACCTGGTGGTGTTTGGGAAGTGGGAGCGCCCCCCGCTGCAAGAGCTGGAACAGGCTCTCCGCAAGCACAACGTGGCCGAACCGTTCTCCATCAAAGTGCTGGACAAAGCCACGGTGAGTAACCGGGGCCGGTTCCTGTGTTCACATCGAGGCCCGAAATAAAGCCACACCGGAGAATTTAGAAGAAAAATGAGGATTTCATATCCCACCTTCAGTGATGAGCAATGATCTGGCACCACAGAATAGTACGACAGTTAATTTCGGTCCCCCAAAAGGTTTAATTCTTCACGGTAAGTAATAGAACATAACAGTCCCAGTAAATGGGGAACGGATTGTAACAAACGCAGCCAAACCAACATTTGGCAGCACTTATTACACTCCGAGAAAAGTTCGTCTGTGTTTTTTAAATGGTCAGTAGGATGTGTAAAGCTTTGGCTCGTTACCTCATTACCTCCATGAGGGGAGAAGAAGAGACTCAATTAGTGTCGTCCATCTGTTTGCGTGATACATGGCACACGCTGCTAGTTGTGTGGGGATCTTTTTCCTGTTGACCTGTAAATATACAGTATGTGCCAACTATAATATTGCAAAAGCAGCTCTAGTTCACCAAAAAATGTAAAATTGGTCATCAACTACTCACCCTCAGGTCAACGATTCCCCCCCCTTTACTTCTGTCTGTTCTTTTAGTCGTTTTTCTGTTTGAAGTTAAAACATTCATTTTGCATTATTTTTTAAATTAGCGATTGGGTCTCAAAGGCTGTCAGTTGGAACAGATGGCTTTCGTGTCCTCAGCTGGTGACTTCACCGTAACGTTTGCTAATTCACGTCTCTGTCTCTCCCTTCAGGTGCCAATCATCAAGCTGACCGACCAGGAGACCGAGGTGAAGGTGGACATCAGCTTCAACGTGGAGACTGGAGTGAAGGCGGCGAGCTTCATTAAGGATTATGTTAAGGTGAGATACACCTACCTGTATTGGTGATGCACATTGTTTTCATAGTGTTATTTAATCAAATGATGCACACAAGTCCAGACGGGGATTGTGAATTGAAGAAATCCGGCCACAACGCACATTACTGCGTACTACGCAGATATGGAGGAAGAGAGCAGCAAAAGGTCCCGTAGACGTATTTAAGTAAAAACCACCAGAGGAGTCGCATAATTGCCATTTTACAGTGGGGTCTAAATACAGCTACTTTGGAAATTCCCGCTGTGAATCAGGCAAGCCAGCAGTTAAAAGCATTACACTTTAACTTCACTCCAATCTTGAATTGGCACTTCTCATTTCCAAAGTGAAGCTGGGACCGACCCCAGCAACTGTGCTCAGAATAATATCCTCTTAACTCACACAGAGTCTGCGCATGGCTGAAGATCTTGCTGCCAAATCGACTCAGTGGAGGTGAAAGGCGGCCCGTGGCTCTGACAGAAAGATCTCTGCCTGCTTTAGTCTCGGTGGTGGCAGCTAACGCAAGAGAGGAATTCCAGGAGCTGATGTTCCAGCGAGTCTTGGCCTTTTTTCATTTTCTTTGGTTGATTTTAGTGTGATGGTTTTCTGGGTCTACGTGTCGGAGCTTGAAAGCCTGCTGTCGACTACCACAGTCAGCATCACTCCGGTGGTGGTGGTGGGTGTGACGGCTTCCAGTGCAGTCACTGAGAGGTCAACCTGAAAGTTCATGCTCGTGGGTCACATTTCCATGCAGCCAGTCGTGGTCTCACTTCTCAAGGGGAGACACCCCATGAGCGAAACATTGGTTTTTATGAGCTGCTCGATTTTAAGATTCTGGGCTGTTTTTTTGTTTCTTTATTGTTTCAGAATATTGGAAAGAAAACATCCAAAATACACATTTAGGTGTTTATTTTACTGCTTTGTCTAATAGCAGTTCACCAAAAGTTAGAGACAGACTTTGATCACTTCATTTACTTATGTTAAATGAAAAAAAATGAATTATTTCCTTTGAGTGAAGTCCTTGAAAATGTCAAAATAGTCCTTGAAAACGTACTTGAAAGTCCTTGGCGTTTATTTTTGAATGTCTGCATGAATTGAAATGACATGATACACATGATCAATATTTCATGGTTGCCTAATAATTGCTGAATCGAAACATAATGAAATTGACTTAAATTCAAAAGGAAAGTGTAATTGCTCATTTGAATCTACTTTTTTGTTTCGTTTAAGGATTCTGTCCTCCGCTCTCTTCCCGTTACCTAACCCAGAGTTTGACTGAATCCGCCGTTCTCACATCCGTCTCTTCTTCCGCTTTCAGATGTATCCAGTGCTGCCTTACCTGATCTTTGTCCTCAAGCAGTTTCTGCTGCAGAGAGATCTAAACGAAGTCTTCACTGGAGGAATCAGCTCGTACAGCCTGATCCTCATGGTCATCAGCTTCCTACAGGTACAGTGAGACGCAGACACACACCCCTAAACATGTTGTACAAACAGAAAGCATCCCAGGGGAAGGAAGCGGCCGCAGCTGCACGCTGGAGCTTAGAGGTAACAGCAGTGCTATAAAAGTGCTGCAGTATTGTAGCCTATTGGCCACGGTGTGTTACACCGTGGCCATAGTAAGATAGTAACACCAACACTGATGGTAGTAGCAATAACAGCATGCACAGTAGAATTAGTAGTAAACAGCTTCCCACATATCCAGTGTTGTACATGGACACATGGATTACTCTAAAAATCACTAGTAACTCATGAAATACAGAATAGTAATGTCGTATTATTCCCAGATAGCGGTGTGTGTGTGTGTGTGTGTGTGTGTGTGTGTGTGTGTGTGTGTGTGTGTGTGTGTGTGGGTGTGTGGGTGGGGGTGTGGGTGTGTGGGTGGGGGTGTGTTGTGGCGGCGGCGGCGCTGTCCCGGGTGCTGAATTGTACCAGAGGAGAGCGACAGACAGGTTTTTTTTATGTTATATACTGGCTAGGCTACAGTTTATTCATTCATTCAACATATAAGCTCATTTCCTATTTCTGTGATTTATTTGATGGAATTATTGTACATTTGTTTTGTGATTTTCATTTCAATAAAAAGGAAAAGCCGTGACAAGATGTTTGTCATCTCTCAATAGACAATGATGGCAAAGTAAAGCACAATATAAGTAAATAATGGCCACGAGTTAAGAGGAAAGTTTGACAGCTTGTGTTGTCGTCGTCGTCGTCCCCCTCCCCCCCCAGCCGTTTAATGCACAGACCGGACCGGGATGCTCCACGTGTTAAGAAGCCACTGCAGAAAGAGCTTTTACTTCCAAGCAACTGTAATATATCTGACTGCTTCTCTGGCTGAGTGAAGGATGAGAGGTAATGCTCGTAGATAGAAGGAGGTTAAGGAGGAGGTGATATATTTCTCTCTTAAGCTTCGAAGCTCCAAAAAGTCTATATATAGGGACAGCCCTATAATCTTAACGAATGCACAGCAACACTTGCTTTCTATACATACTAATCCAGTCTTCCTGCGCTTGCCCTTCAGCTCCATCCTCGTATCGATGCCAGGAACCCCAGTGAGAATTTGGGCGTGCTGCTGATCGAGTTCTTCGAGTTGTACGGCCGCCATTTCAACTACCTGAAAACTGGGATCCGCATCAAAAGTGGAGGCGCATACTTGGCCAAAGAGGAGATCATGAAGGCCATGACCAATGGATACAGACCATCCACGCTGTGCATAGAGGACCCGCTTCTCCCAGGTGTGTGTGTGTGTGTGTGTGTGTGTGTGTGTGTGTGTGTGTGTGTGTGTGTGTGTCGCAAGTTTACGATTACAGTGAACTCAAAATGAGGTTGTTGGGGAACTGTCATGCCATAGAGCTTACGACGCCATCTTGTTTCTCTTCCACCCTTTTAAAATGTACCTCTGTTTGTCTTCGTCTTTACTGCATGCAGGTAATGACGTGGGGAGGGGCTCCTATGGTGCCATGCATGTCAAGCAGGTGTTTGACTATGCCTACACTGTGCTGAGTCATGCTGTGTCGCCGCTTGCACGGTCGTATCCCAACAAAGACTCTGAAAGGTTTGCATTCAATCCACTCAACAGCACCAAAGATACCCAGAATAAAAGTGGTTCTCTTTTAAACCTGTCTGTCTGTCTGTCTGTCTCTCGCTCTCTCTCTCTCTGTGTCTGCAGCACCTTGGGGAGGATAATCCGGTTGACCCAGGAAGTTATCGACTACAGGGAATGGATCATTAAGAAGTGGGGGGGCAGGGATCTGGCGCGAACAGACAACAGAGGTACGACTCCTCAGACTTCAATATACAAATCTAGAGTAGTGAAGAAATAACTGCTTATGCTCTCCGTGATCATTTGAAGCCAGGACTGTATGAGGAGTACAGGGTTCAGAGGTTGACTCTGATACGTAGAAAACATCTTATAAAACTGATGTTTTCCGCTTCAATGAATTTGAAGTCACTGAATTCTATTAAAAGAAGAATTTTCAAAGTTCACCATTCTACTGAAAAAAAACTAAACTTTTCATGTATGAATAATAAATTCCACAGAGCAAAGTGTGTCAAATTTGTGAATTACTGAACCTTCCATCCTTTTTTTTTTTTTTTTTTTTTTTTTGTTGCAGTTTCACCTCCCAAGGAGCCGGCGTCGGAGCGGGAGCCCTGTATGCTCGGCGGGGGTGTCGGGACGGAGGAGCAGCAAAGAGAATCGGTGTCGCCCCACAGCGCCGACTCGCCCATGTCCATCTCCAGCCCCCAGCAGCACTCCTCCGCCTCCTCCGTCTCCTCGCTGTCTGGATCAGACAACGTAAGAACAACACACACACACACACACGTGTGATCAGCAGATAGGCACGCACTGGAAACAGCACTCGGTGTGGTTTCTGGCTTTTGTAGCTCAACAGATTGAAAGATACCATAGTTGTCAAGTGAATTCTGACATGAAGAGTTAATCCACATAAAAGCTACTTCTGTATACGTCATGACAAATTACTGCAGACCTATATGCAGTTTTATCTCTTGATATATTGTCTGGCACAACGAATATGTTGTGATTATGTAATGGACAACCAACGTAATGGAGTAATACAGACACCCACTTGGTATAACTACATGCAGCGTCATCTTTTTTCCCCCTGTCCAACCCATCTGTTGGGAGCCCCACAAATCTAATTTTAATGCACTATTAGCTACAAGTGTGAACCTGGTTGAGTTAATCATCCGTGTAAAACGGTTAATGTGAGAAGTGTTGAGTTTAAAGAAGGACTGCTATTCATAGCATGCATGTCCTTTACAAGGGAGAGAACTTTACCTAAAAACAGGGCCGGCTGTAAAGGCGTTAGCAGGACATAGACGGCAATGATGACGCTACAGTTTATGTACTCCAAAACTGATTTGGAAGCAAGGGTATCAATGTGAATGCCTGCATGTCAAAGTTACTGAAGCTCACTCCGGTGAATACATTACCCGGTTTAGTGCACCGAGGCAGCTATATGATGAATGTGAAATTCATATTAGGATCTTAGAAGCCTTTGGAGTGGCGTCATGATGCCAGAGGACATGGCTCTTTATGAAAGCCGTCGAGAGGGGAGAAGATGACGAATGGAAGGTGTCCGATGTGCTGGAGCTCCTGCGGGAGGGGGAGGGGGAGAGGGAGGGAGAGAGAGAGGGAGAGAGAGGGAGAGAGAGGGAGAGAGAGGGAGAGAGAGGGAGAGAGAGAGAGAGAGAGAGAGAGAGAGAGAGAGAGAGAGAGAGAGCTTTTGAAAATGATGAGATCATACAGAGAGAGCCAGTCTGCCCACAAGCCATGTAGCAAATCATATTCCGAAATAAACCATGCATCTGCACTGCATACAGCGAGCCAGAAGACAGAGTGGCCTCCTCCATGACCGTGTCGAACTGACCACAAGGTTGCAGGCGTGTAAGGAGAAGCTGAGGAAGCTAAGCGGGTGCTTTGTTTGCTTGGGGCCTAAACATATTGGATGAAGGGTGTGTCGTGTGCAACATGTGGAGGCAGGCATCACATAGCCGTTCCTGAAGAACAAGAACAACGAACACTGTCATTTCAAAAAGTGCTATTTTCACTACACAACAACAACAAGACATTCTCAAGCTTGCTCATCACGTTCTCTCTTTGCTTTTGTGTAATTCGCCAGGACTCCGATTCAGCGCTGCCGTGTCCCGTCCCTCCTCCAGCCATGCCGCCGTACCCGTCTTTCCCTCCTCTGGGCCTGGCTTTGCCACCGGGCCTCAACATGGGCACCTGCAAGCCCGGCATGGGAGGACACCATCTCCTCCTGCATCCAGGCTCGCAGGTAGGAATGTCCACAGGCACTCGGGATTACATCAGCTTAGATCATGAGGGGAAACAATATGATGTAGTGGATCAGGTTTAGGTAGTGTTCAGAGAACTATATCTAAAATATCAGACCAAGATGTTGCTCTTTCCTGTTGTTATTGTTATTAATTATATATGATATTAATTACTGTCCCTTTGGTCCTCCAGGCTCGCATCACACTGCCCGTTGGTCTAGCAATGCACTCCATGCCTGGCAGACAGGTGTGTATAGACACCGGGCTCCCCCCCTTCTTCCACATGCCCCCCCCAGCCCATGCTCATGCCCCCGCCCCCTCCAGCCCCCAGTCTCCGCCCAGCCCCCACTCCAGCCACACACACAAGGTAGGCACCGGATGCCACACGCACTCAAACGCACTGTTGAGGCAGACTTGCCTCTCACTCACACACACACACACACACACACACAAGTTCACACTCTCTCATCTCCGTTTCTCTTCCGTTCTCAGCCAAGTGTGTGATTTGTCTCTCTCGCACTCGCAAAAAGTTAAATTGCCATCTGTAGTCATAATTGATCTGTAAACACCGTCACTGCTGCTCAGTGGGCTGATGTTCCAACATCTGCTGTGGAAATGACAAAAACAGGGACCAACAGTTTAATCCAATTTTTAGTTCTTTCAGCCTGCTGGCTTATTGAAGGAATTGTTCAACTTTCTGGGTAATACGCTGATTCACTCTCTTGCTAAGAGTTAGATGGGAAGATTGATACCACTCTCACATTTGTACGTTAGTTATGAAACCACAGACAGTGGGAAGTTTTTGGGGCGACTGTGGCTCACTGGGTTAAGAGGGTTGTCTGGGAACCGGAAGGTCAAAACGGAGTGTTTCCCCCTAAACCTGGCTTTGTCCAAACGTTAAATAATCTGTTTACCAGCTAATTGTCTGGAATATAATCAGCTTTAAAACCACAACTACTGGCTAGTCCTACAGTTGTTGTTTTTGTACCAATTAATCAAATGATATACAACATTTAAAATAGTTCGATATGGAGTTTTTTTTAAAGTGAGCTAGGCTAGCTGTTTCCAGCCTTTACGCTAAGCTAAGCTAACTGTATGCTAGCAGTAGCTTCATATTTAGCATGTACACATGAGTGGTATCAATCTTCTCATCTAACTCTCAAAAAGCATATTTCACAAAATGTTTATGTCCATTTAAACAGCTAAGATCTCTTTAGTCCTCACAATGATCTGTGTTGTACCAGCAATGTGTAAGTGCATTCATTTGATTGGTTAGTGCAGTGACATCCAGCATGACATGGCAGCATAGTTTATGTAGTTGTTGGTGCACCATCAGTAAAGAAGTTAGAGGTTTATTTGTACATTCTCTCCAACACGCCTCAGAACGGAGCCAAGTTCAACGTGAAGGGCTTCCACAACCCGCCGCTGGTCAACAACCCGGTCCTGGCTAACCGCGGACACACACACAGTCACACACAGTACCACCGCAACACTTGGCGACGCAGAAAGAGGGACAGCCTCCCGGTCAGCCTCAGCAGATAGGAACCCCTCTTGGGATCCCTCTCCTCTCCCCTCCTGGCTCTGCGTTCGTCTCCAGGGAGGATGGACAGACAGACAGACAGGCCGACGGAGGACCAGAGACCAGCAGTTTTCACTCTGGGGCTGCCGTGAGATGGAACTACAGCCCCCAGCTCTGCATCTTCCTCCTACTGTCTCTTCCCGCATGACATTTGTAATTTCAGTATTACGTTACTTTCAGTAACCTCATCTTTGTTGCAGGTCTTTTTTGTTTATTTTTGTGAGACTTGGCGGTGAAGCCATTGCCAAGTCCACTTGACCTCGTCTCGACCGCTGCAGCCAAGCTGCCCGTGGTTCAGTGTTACTTTTTTTGTTTTTTTACAGTTTATACACTTTTTCATTTGTGCAATAATGTTATTTTTCTTTTTTGGAACTAAAGTAAATGCTTATTTAATTTTGTGTGTGTATATGTAAAGGCATTTTTATACAGTTGTTTTATTTTTGTAGAGTTTTACATTTTGTTTACGAAACCTTTCCCCAGGCAGCATCTCTGGAGTCGTTGTGTGTGCGTGTGCGCGCGTGTGTGTGTGTGCGCGTGTGTGTGTGTGTGTGTGTGTGTGTGTGTGTGTGCGCGCGTGCGCCTGTCTGTCGTCAGGTCGAGATAGACCCCGGTTCAAAGACACCCCACCCCCCCGATCTCTTCTTCTCTCCCTGACTTACTTGTGTTGTTCTGTTTGATAAAGAGAAGCGGGAACAGAAAGGGATACGGAGCTCTTACCTTCAGATTCCTTCCCTTTTCCTCCATCAGTCTTGTGAAAATGGTCGAGGTTAACGAGAAATTCCTCGTGGAAGTTATGTTCCTCGGTCCAGTTTGTCTCAGGCTTCCTGGAGGGACGTGGGAAGGATGGAAGTTGCACCCTGGGATATCCCGAGAAGCCAGAGTTGAGGATGTAATCCTGTGTTGGCCCAGAAGAGGTCGCTCCTGAGCAGATGGAGCTTCAGCAGTGCTACCTCCAGGTCGTATGTCTGTGCGTGTGTCCCTTGTGGGACTGTGCTTGTTGTCGTATTTGGTCTTTCGGGGGAAGGCGGGCAGTGACCTGCTAGTTTTGTGTCGTCCATCTTTCTCTCCACCGGAGGCAATTTTTTTTTTAAAAAGAAAAGCTTCCCGACTGCAGAGTTTTGGCCTGAAAGAGCCCGTTCTCTTAAACATATATGCTCGTGTCTTTTCATTTCCGTGGTCGTCTTATTTTATTACATGTTGTCGGAGGGTTGGGGCCGAGAAGGCAACAGCTCATCTAACTTGAATTTGAAGATCAATATTAGAGTCAGAGTGCAGACAAAAGAGCCTCCGATTCCAGGTTCAGAAGAACCTCTACTCGAGGGGCGTGTGTTGTGGAAATCTGATCCCAGGGCTGAGGTCAACTCTCGCCCGCAGCTGTAAATCAGTTCACAACAACACTAAGATGCTTAGCGATACGGTTTCCTCCTCTATGGTCCTGGACGGAGGAGGAGGAGGAGGAGGAGGGAGGGAGAGAGAGCGGGGGTCTTCTTGAACCAAGGACCCTCCTGAAAGGGAACTCGTATTTTGATTCCATTGAGGAATCTCGTGTATATTTGATTGCCAGGTACTTCCGCCAATTGTTTGCAATGCCTTCCTTTGTGTTTACTCGGAGTGTGCGTACGTCGTTTTTTCCGCGAGCACAAACGTGTCACGCAAACACACACACACCTGCAGACGTGACTCGCCCAGAACACTACACACGCTGGTGTTATTACTATGCAAGTGGATTATTCTAATTATTGTGTCAACTCTCCTCTTTCTGTTTTATTTAGTTTTCTCCCCAAAATGACAAAACCCTGCTTGTTGGACTGGAGTAATGTTACTGACTGTCAAGACTTACAAGTCAACTCATGTGAACTACAAGTCCATCCACTGACCCCCCCCCTTGTGTTTGTATGAAGGTCCTGATATGTTTTCAAAGTCTAGTTTTCCACATCCGTCAGTCACACGTGAGGAGTGTACGGAGGGATGTTGATGTGGGTGGTTGGGTCTGGGTCTGTGTAGTGTGTGTGACCTAGTGAAACGTGTGTGAGAACGTATCGAGACTCATGACTCGCCACCACCGCTTTTTAATCAGATGCTTCGTGAGCCAAGTGCACCCGAGAGAGCGACTTGCACTCTTGCAGGTGCACTTCAGAAGGGCCAGAGTGTCCACCAACGATTCTTTGACTCTGTTCAGTACTGTTACACTATTTGTGTTTCCCTTTTCATCTTTTAAACCATGGCAACTCTGACCCCACAGTCAAAACCGCACCTGGCATCAATTCAATCTCAGATGAAGGGTTTCGGTTTTGACCGATGGCTCAGCAGATTATGAGCTACTCATCATGTCCAGATAGAGAAAGTCCTCTCACGTTTAATGATTTGACCCAAATAACAATCATTATGGAAGCCACAGACTTCTCTTAGATGTGCCCAGACATACCATCGTACCCTTTCACCCTGTTTATTCCCTACAGGGGATTATTTCCATCCAAAGGGAGGTGATAGCGTTGGTGCATGAAATGCTCAGTTCCATGCACTCCTAGCCTGATTATCAATTGGATAACAAGGTGAATGTAGTTTCCAGCTGCATCCCTGACAGCCACTTCTGCTTTTTAGCGATTTAGAACCAGCAATGATGAGAGGCTGAAAAGATGAAATTGGTGACGGAAGGTTGTCGACTGGGTTTGAGTTGCCTGCATCTCCACACAGCAAAACGACTTGACATGCAGTATCCTGGAAGTCTGTATGGATTCAAACCTCAGCGGCTCGGTGCGCCTCACTCTCCTTGTTCACGTCTCCAGATGTGGTGTGAAAAGGAAGCGACAGAGTGGCCAGGACCGCTGAGATTTATTGCGTACATGTAGATGCAATGTAATATTACCCCCCTCCTTCCCTCCCTCCCTCCCATTGCGATACAATGAGGGATTTTAAACTGGCGGCTGCTGTTTAGAGAGAAGCGGCAGCCTCTCTTTGTCCTGGCTGATTCATGTGAGCAGTGGCCCTCTGAATGGACACGGAGCTACCGGTGGCCGGAGGGAACCACTGCCCAGCTTGTGGTTGTCGTTGTTTTTTTTTGACATTTTTAATGTAAATATATTTTTTTCTATTTTATTTTTTAATAAACATTTTAAAACTGCCAGTCAGCGTGTGTTTTGTTTTGTGTGTTGACAGATTCACATGGGCACTTAATGCTGCATTAATACAACAAACAAACATTATCAAACAAAGCTCTCATGGTAAAAATATAAGCAAAGAGTTGGCAAATGTAGGCCCTGTATCGGTCTCCACTATGTTGTTCTGTGTGTTTGGTGCTGTGCCGGTAATATACAGTGGGTCTACCAGAGCAAACCAGGGAAGGTGCAGCACGTAAAACAAGACTAAACCACTGTAGAGCTGACGAGAAGTGATAATTCTCATAGGTTTGTTACGACTAGTGAAACCTTTAATGTTATCGGAGTCATTTGACCCATTGTTCATATGAAAATATATCGATTGGTGCAGCTTTAACTTCTTGATTTATCTCCAACTAGTCTGAACTCTTGTGGTTTAGTTCCCTCTGTGTCTGAGAGGCTCTGGTATCCTCCTCAGTCAACATGTGATTCTTCTCATCAACACCGGGTGGTGCTCGTGTGCTGCTGTTTGGGAGAATTGGGAGAACCTCTCAAACTCAAAGTACACTTTAACCCCTTAAACCAAGCTTCACATTGAGGATCCTGGTCCACTTGTCTTAACCTCGTTGACCTAAAAGCTTTGGATGAAGGTGAAAGGGCCACAAAGTGAGCGTTGAATTGTGAGTCATATGGATCCGTGTTCAGAGTCAGTGAGGTGGAACAACATAGAGAGGAAGATAGTGTAATCAAAGTTTTCTCAGAGGAGACAGAGTTAAGGGCCTATCTCTTTAATGCTGTCAATTTACTGAATTGTGTCTATTCAGCTTAGAAATGTGGTGCATTTTCACAGAAAATCAACAGAAAACTAAAGTCAAGAATGATAAATATAAAGTAGCAACAATAAAATAAATATGTAAAATATATCTTTTGCAATAAACTGTACAGTGTGTAAAGCAAAAGAGGATGAAATCGACACAATATTGACTAAAGAATGTTCACAATATGAAGAATATGTGTAAAAATAATCCAAATTTTGGGTTGGGTTGGACCAGAAACAACAAACTGAGATGCAAAAGAAAGGGGGCTAATGTCCGAGGAGGAGAAAATGAAAGAAGAGAAGTATGACTGGAAGAAAGAAAAGATGGACAATATGCAGATTAATAAACCTGCAGGATTATATTCAGTGTGCGGAGCATACAGTTTAAATTTCTGCACTGTCTCTTTAAATTGAGCAGCCAGTAGTAATCCTCAATCTGAAGGGGAGAGTAGAGTCAAGTTCACCAGAACACAAGCAATCACTTCCTGTCATCGTTTCCAATGCCGCTTCTCTCTAAACAATTTATAATCAATTAATTGTGTCAGATCTTTGTGCTACTTATATAACTACTTATTATTACTAACATAAAAACTGTGTTCAAGGCAAGGCTGGTTTATACACTGTATAAAAGGTGTAATTCCCTCAAGGACCCTGACCCACAGGGGCCCCCAGAAGCACCATTTTCACTGTATGACCATGTGTTTTTGGTTTTTTAATTAATTGTAACTTTGTTTGGGAATATGGGAGTATATGCCACTAAAGCACAATATCAACAGGTGCTTCCTTCTTTATTACATAGAGCCCTTAAGGCCATGTCTTGAAGAGGGTCCCTGTATCAAAGTCTAGACTTTCATTACTGAGATAATACTGTGCACAGATGATGCAGTCCAGAGTAATTACATCTTGTGGGTATGTTCCAAAGTGACATCCTATTTTTGTATTGCATTTGTATTTTTGTATGAAAAGACTGCTGAATTCTCACATTAGCTTTGGCCTTTATAATGCATAATGCATTTTGAACAACTGGTTTTACACCAGTTGTCGTCTCGCACTGGAATTGCACTGATGAAGAGATCTCTTCCTGGCATGAAGGAATGAAACAGAGACCAATAATACACACCAATAACGTCCACTATACATATACGTATGTGACTGAATTCAAACACACCTGAAACCATGTGAACGTATCCATTAACAGGAACCCATCAGCTCATTTTTCAGCTCATGTTTGCTTTTTACTCTTTAATAAAATCCAACTTTTGTATTTTATTTCCCCCTTGCTTCTTTTATTTTGAAAATACTATTGAACTTCCTTCGCTGTTAATCGATAACACTGGAGCTTGACGCAAGCGAGAGAAAGCTACTCGGCAGATGCACAAAAGGAACGCACGGACCTGCAGCAGCGATGGGAATCAAACTGTACTACACCACCGTGACTGCCTCCCGGACGGTGAGTCGAGTGGCCGCAATTTAACGAACGTAAACGGCGTGTTTGTGCTTGAAGCTCCGGCTGCAGCCAACGATGGTACCAGTGCTCAGTCCGACAGACACACCCAGCACTCTATCAGTCAGTCCGCTTCCTCCTGACTAACAGTGCAGCGGGCCTGTGCTGGTCAGCGCCCATTTCTACCATTATTATTGTAACGTCAGCGTTACCTGAATAAAGACGAAAGCTATCAGTTGTGAAACAAAACATGGAGGACTTGCAAAGACGAACCAGGATGCATGATTCCACCTCGTTTCCTCTTTGTTGGCACGTTAGAGGAAGTTGTTTCTATCGAGCTATTTTATTTTGCAGAAATGTCTCCTCAAGATATGGACCGTATGTATTACATGCATACATATTTATTACACTTTGCGTACTTACGCGTAATACTGACGCAAAGTGTAGCGACCCTGGGTATCCGCTTCCTGTTCGCCAAACTTCATGTAATCTGTCAGTTTCATGGTTATTGTACAAAATAATAAAGATAAGGCGTTTATTACCACCAATATGTGTCCGAATACATTAAATACACTGAATAACACTTGTTTTATAGGAAATGTATCTTTCGTAAGGAGCTCACTTCCCTAATCTTCTAGTTACTGTAGTTTGGTGGTAAACGAGCACGAGAACAATGACTAAAATCTTTTGCAGCAGTATGAACACAGTCTATATGCCGAAGCACTGGGCCAACCATCTGGTACCTATTAGGTTTTTTTTTTTTAGGAATTCATCATGTTGTGAAAAAGTCCAGTGACGTGCACGAGCGTTTAACCCCCTCACGTGCAGTAACGCTGCTGATGTCTGGTTTTCTGTTGAAGCCGGAGGAAGATGGTGATCGATTACAAGTCTCTCTGCTGCCTTCATCACCAGCTGCACGGCCACATTAATCTGTCCTATTATTGTATTCTATCAAAGTATTTCCCTCTCATTTTATTTATTTGTATATAAACATTTTTGTTAATTTAGACCTTATGAAGACTGTCCTTCCTACGTTCTCAAGTATGAATCCCTTTTATCTTTACTTTATAAATGGTTTTATTAAGTTTGAAATGTGTTCCCTCTCTTAATGCATCTTATAGATTACTCTGCATCAGAAAAGTTGAATACAGGCTACACGCAGCGCTTCAAGAAGGGTTTCCAATCCATACCACTCAAATATACGTTGTCAACTGTTGTAACTTTGTACTTCACACGATTCAGAGAAGCTTTGTAAAAGCAATTCCTCTTTTCAACTAAACGCCAGCTTGTGTGTTTGCAGTTTCTCGGGTGTGGTCACTTTACGAAACGCCCTCCCAACTTCCTCATTTGCCCCCAAAAGATAGCAGAGCGTTCCCGAGGTCTATTAATCACCACCCAGCAGCCAGATAAAGCCACTGCTTTTCTATTGCAGCACTATGCCTCGAAACAAGTGTAAATGTCCCTCCCCGGGAGGAGACATGACATTTCAAGTTTTAAGGGTTGTATGAATTGACTGGTTCCTAGTTGGTATGCTGGGCTTCATTACATTTCTGATGGTCTCCTTGTGTGTTTTATTTTGTCAGGTGAAGTCTCAACAGGCAGAAGTGATGCGAATCCTTGAAAGTAAAAGCATCCAGTTCAAGCTCATCGACATCTCTGTGGGCAGAGAGGTTTGTGACGAAATGAGAAGCAAAGTGGGGAACCCGTCAGCTGTTCCTCCCCAGCTGTTCAACGAAGACCAGTACTGTGGGGTGAGGAGAACACACGCACACACGCACACACACACGCACACACACACGTACACACACACGTACACGCACTCTCCAACAGTCTAGTCGTAAAAGTCTCGGCATGAATGACGGCTGGTAACCGTTAAGAAATGTGCCTCTGTTATTGTCCACAAGAAAGCACGCACAGGTTTATATTTCAACTGGAAAAGTCCTTTTTAATACATATTAAATACACATTGCTTACAATTCTCTTATAACCAAGTGTTCAACCTGCGAACTGTTGTTTAGTGGAACAATGTGACACCACTGGCAGTAATGTGTACCTGTCACCCACGTGCACAACTGTGTGTTGTTGTGCATTAGACGAACAAAATGGGGACTCAATTCAAGACATTTTAAGTTTCTGTGACAATTCCTGTCTCAAGCGAATGCAGCACAAAGTCCCACTTGTGTAGTTTAAATAACTATTACTGTACTAAACAGAACTGAGTGTGCATGTCAGCGTCATCCAGATGTAAAGGGATGTAATCTGCCAAAGAAAATGTTCCTCGGGCTCTTCTAATAATAGTCTTTACCATTTTATTATTAACAATAATGACTTAACATCTCCTCTGGGAATGTGTAAGAAGTTGTAACTAACTTGCAAATCGTAAGTTTCATAAGTTTTAGCGCAACTGCAGCACACTAAGCTATGCATGAGCTAACCAATCGTCCCAGTGATAAACCTGAATCTGTAGCTCCTCTCTGCTTCACGGAGCTTCATCCTGAGTTTCAGTTCATTGGTCAGCTACCTTACAGCTTTGGTTTACCTTCACCGCTCTCATGGGGTTGTTTTCAGCCACAGCAGGCAGCTGTTTTCAGAGAAGAAGCTCTTAAAACCTGCGGTACACTTCCTGCTCAGCATCAGTCCGCAAGTTAGCTGCTGAATGTAGAGCATTTAGCGGCTAAACAGGTGTTTCCATCAGGAGCTGGTTGAGGTCAAATCAGAGAGAAGAGGGTGAATATGGACATACATTTATCACATGGTCAGAAACACAACTCCAAATGACAAATAATGTTGCTCCAGATGTGTAAATAAGCAAAGGTTGGCCAACAAGTTCACATTACCAAACTAAAAGGTGTTTTGTGACAGCTTGTTTCTGCTGCCCCCAAGTGGCCAATAATAGTTCCTGCAGATTTAACACTGATATTTTCAAAATAACGGTCATCTTGTGTTCCAAAATGTAATCAACATTTTAAGATGATTTATCTACATGAACTATTATGTTTTAGTAAAGAAATGGCAGCTCTGTTTGAGCTCTTTGTTCAACATAAATTACAAACTTTTTTTTTTTTTTTTTTTTTGCCAATTCAGAGGCCATGCAGCCGTCGTATCAGAATGTGTGTGTTTGCTGATGGTCTCTCTTCCTCTCCACAGGACTACGACATGTTGTCTGAGGCGGTGGAAGCAGATACAGTCGACCAATTTCTGAAGATGGCGTGAGAAATACGGAGTGTAATTCTCAGTCTTAACCCCATATCCCCTCACACCCTGTGCCCTAATGGAGGCCCTTCATCCAGTCTCTCTCTGCTCCACTGGCAGTATCCACTCACTTTCAATGCCATAACGGAGAATGCCAAATATCTAATTAATCAGAAGACACACATTCCCCCTACTGCTCCATTAGTCTTAATCTGTTTTTTTTCCTCTTCTTTCCTTTTGATTTCTTTCTGACCTTCTCCCCTTCTGACAGACTAGTGTTACTAAGTGCTCCCAGGAAGCAATGGGGTGTCTAAATGTGCAGTAATTAGGTTGACTAATCTCGGCCGCGGCCACATGATCGCTGGAGTTTAAACTAATCTGGATGACAACGTTCAACCCAGAATCTTCCTGATCCGCTGCACACCAAACGCACAGTCTTAACTACTTTTGTCGTCTTTCTCTGTAGCCTTCCAGTTCCCATGTTTGTACTTGACCGCACACTATTTTTTACTTCGCGTTGATGCAAATGCACTGGGAAGTAGCAAGGACTGTAATGTCCTGAAACCCAATTAATCGTAAGACTTGGAGCTGCTGAAAGATGCCTTTTTTGGCATATACAGCTTTTTGTAATTTTGGTCCATTGGTCACTTCATGCAACATTTGACGTCTTGTGCTCATCTGACGTTAATCTGATGGCGATAATGCCAACAGAACTCAAAACATGTACATTTTTGACAAATATTAAAAGTACAAATTACTTCAATTAAGCCACACACTTATGCTTGTCTGTGACACAAAGGTAACAAACAAAATTACATTCAGACGCATTAAGGTCTACCAAACGTCTTGGGTACATTTCCTTCATTACATTTGCAAAGACGTTTTAAAAAAAAAAATACATTTTATATTGTTTACATCCTTGTTTGCTAGCAGGCAGTGTTCTTCCTCTCCGACTTTTTGAACAAATTGTTACTCTTCTTTGCGCTTTACTGCCACCGACTGGCAATCTGTGTAGGGCGACACTGGTGGCAGGAGTGTGTATTGCTTGCGTGCACGATAAGAACAAAGTGGGGACCCGCTTGTAAAAACTGTAGCGCTACTATTAGTGACAAATCCACAGGGTACCTTTAAGCTAAGTCTTGCAAATGTCTGTAAATTGCCATCAGCCGCAGTGTCTTTTTTTTTATATACTCAAATATATATCAGTCAGAAATCAGACATTTTCAAATCGTACACATTGTTGCATTAAAGGTGCAGTGAGTTGGATTTGGCGACATCTAGTGGTGAGGTTTGCAGATTGCAACCAACTGAAACTTCTCCCGCGTGTCAAGCGTGTAGGTGGCTGATGGCTGATATATATTCCCCTAAATACTATACACTGTTCCTTTCATTTATAATTGGTGACCAGTTGTAGCTTCTATTTAGTGCAATGAGGTCGTGCCTCATCTATTGTTTGTGCCTGTCGGGGGTGTTAACATACTACAGTTGAAATCAACAAATTACAATAATCTGTTTATTTACATTTTACTGCGCAGGCAACAAAAAAATGGATTCAGTATTCCCCAACCAACATACTGTTCAGTGTGGAAACATTTATACTTTCATGAGAGGAAATCCAATTTACAGGAAACATAATTGAACAGTTAAAATTATCTCTCTCTCTCTCTCTCTCTCTCTCTCTCTCTCTCTCTCTCTCTCTCTCTCTCTCTCTCTCTCACTCTCTCTCTCTCTCTCTCTCTCTCTCTCTCTCTCTCTCTCTCTCTCTCTGAGACCCCTGTTGGAATCAACGATGTGTGACAATGGTCACCAATGGGCCAGACTTATTTAAAAGCTTGGTGTGGTTGAACATTTCAGTAGTTGGCTGCTTGATTTTAGCACCCAGTAGAGCAGAATGAACAACTTTTCTTACTCAATCGGTGCCAATATATATCTTTGCAGGTGGATTTTCACCGTATTATTAGCACTTACCTGTTATCTTCTACGTTTTCCATAATCCGTATAGTTTAGAAGCTTTGTTTCAGGCTCCGTATGGCTGACTGACTGCACACACTTAGAAGGGAGCATTCCATGTCGATTGTAAATGATAAGATGGAAAAGATGTGAATCTTCTCGCTTTTCAACCACGTAGCTTGTCATTCCTCCTGTTTATTCAAATGTTACAGTTTCACAGACTGTCCCGGGCATGAAGATGCGGTAATGTGACTATGCACTGACACCCTGCCTCACTCTGAACACAGAGAAAAAGGTCAACGCTGGTGTGTTTTAAATTGAGCTGCCTCAGTCTTACTGGCCTTAGGGAACACTCGCCACATGGGAAACATGAAGGCTTTACTTATTTTCTCTTCTATGTATGCACATTCATTCAGTTATATATCATGTTCATGTTTTGGGTTATTTGTCTTTTTTAGTTTTTTTTTTTAAATCAAGAACGACGTGTTTTTTTCCTCTCTAACTCTTCTGTCAACACTCTCCTCTGCTTTCAAAATTGTGTTGTCACAGTTTGGGATCCCCGGTAAAGATGGCCTTCACACACAATGTTTGTGCAGTGTTTTGTAAGTTGGTGGTTGTAGATGTTTGCCTGATGTATATCCACTATGAATCATGTTTTAGACATTCCATGTCTCTCTCCTGCTTTGCTTTTGGACCAATTCCCCTGGGCCCAAAAAAAAGAAAAATAGGGACTAAAATGCTGTTGTCTTCCAAGAAGATTGTGAAAAATGATTTATGGGTGAACAAAAAATAATAAAATGGGAGTTGAATCTACATGTCTGTATGTTTTTTTCATTTAGTCCTTGTTCATATAGTCCTTGTTTTAATGGAAACATTTAACAAGATAGTGCGGGGACATTTGCACACCCACAAGGGATTAATTTCTAATTTGCAAGTCAGTGGAATATTCTGACTGCCAATAAAACCACATGGAGGACATCTTCCACACATTTATAGCAATGCTGCATGTATGCCTCACATTTTCTTTTAACTATTGCACACAGACTTTATCATTAATATGTTCTGTATATGATAAAATATGACAGCAGGTTTGTACAAACAGAGCTAGTTAAATGCATAACAGCTCGTTTAATATGATTGGCTAATACAAGGACATTCATATGCACATTTATTCAAATTAACAATAATTAATTAGGAAACTATAATATATTTAATATAAATATAATGATAATACATTTGAAGAACAATGTCAATGTTTTGCTCAGTTGTAGTACCTACTTTATTCTTTAGGAGATGCTGATGTGTCATATGGGTCTTCTACTTTAGCAGAAGAAGAAGAAGAAGAAGCGCTACAACCGGAAACATAGATCCTGATTTCAAACTAAAAGCAAAATATGAAGTTGCATATTTGTATGCTTCTATGAACAAGATACAAAAATGCAAATCCTCTCAATTGTGGACATACTATTGGATAAAGGTTGGGAAAGAAAATATTGTGAGCATTATACACAATAGCCCAGATAAGAACTTTGCCCTTCCACACACGATGTTAAGAATATGCCAGAACTGTAATTATATTCCCCACTGGGGGAATATGTGTAATGTGATTATCATACTCGCTAACAGAAATATTCATTGTTCAGTTACACTAACTACAACAGTACAGTTATCTCTTAACGCCGGCTGTTCTTCTTTTAATGTAATCACACACACCCCTGTGGTTGTTTTACTTTGAAAAATACCGGATGTTTCTCTGTTGATTAACGTCAGCTGTTGCAAGAACACTGGTCCGAAGAAGGAAGCTGTAACATTTAGCTGAATTTCTTTGTGGGACGTTAATATAGCGTTATAGCTTAACGCACGGTAAGACATTTATATTGATATAGAAGTAGCGAAATACAAGCTAATGACACGAGAGCTTTTGTTTTCATTACAATGTCTCCTGTTCCGACACCGTTGGCCACTGTAATAATGTTGTTAGCTTCCATATTTAACTACCACGAGCAAAGACAGCAGCAGGCGTTGCATTGCTTATTTGTAAAGGTAGCGTTTAGGTGGAGACGTTATTTATTATTTAGGAGTCGTTCCAGGTTTACCATCGTTAATGCGTCAGAGTCTCCAAGTAGCACGTTTTCATTCAAACGTCAGAGGCTGTTTTTGGAGGACACGTGACACTAAACAAAAACACAAACGCAGCTAATGTTTGAAGGTGTAAATTGGTATATTTGTATCTCTGCATTCTATTATACTTTTTAATGAGGATCAGTGAAAGTACAAAAATTGTTGACCCATAAACGTCTTCCTCCATCCCAATACAATGGAGATGAAAGAAATGTTCCGAAACAGTGGAAATTTGCATTTAAAATATGAAACAGCAGCAGTATCTCTTTCCACAAACAATATCCTGCTTACTCTGGAGAATTTGGGCTCCAGAACAGATTTTATTTGAACTTTTCTCGACTTAAGAAATGTATGAAGGGTTAAAAAAAAATGAATTAAGTTGTAATAATAAGATGCACAGAAGTCATTCTGGGAATATGATCAGCTCTATTAATGTTTTTCTGCCCCATGAAGCCCCAATGCGAAGATGAGCGTGCCAGACTACATGCAAAGTGCCGAGGACCACCAGACGGTACTGGTGGTGGTCCAGCCGGTGGGCATAGTACCCGAGGACCAGTTCTTCAAGATCTACAAACGAATCTCCAGCGTGAGCCAGGTGAGCATCAGGGACTCGCAGCGCCTCCTCTACATCCGCTACCGCCACCACTACCTGCCCGAAAACAACGAGTGGGGAGACTTCCAGACGCACCGCAAGGTGGTGGGTCTCATCTCCATCACCAGCTGCGCCTCGGCCAAAGAGTGGCCCCAGACCGCCGAACGCTTCCACGCCCAGAAAGAGGTGTACAGCTCCACGCTGTACGACTCCCGCCTGCTGGTGTTCGGGCTGCAGGGAGAGGTGGCAGAGCAGCAGCGGACCGACGTGGCCTTCTACCCCGGCTTTGACGACTGCTCTGATGTGGAAAAGAGAGTGGATGACTTTGTGGAGTCCATATTTATCGTTCTGGAGTCCAAGCGGCTCGACCGCGCCACAGACAAGTCAGGTGACAAGATACCACTGCTCTGTGTGCCCTTTGAGAAGAAGGACTTTGTGGGTTTGGACACGGATAGCAGGTGAGTTGTTCTCCACCAAAAGCCCTTTAGCATTTAGAGGCTGGTTAACGAATGCCTGAATGATCTCTGCAGCCAGTTAATGAGATTTACTGCATTGTTTGCAAGCTGTTAGTGTGTCTTTGTTACTTGTTACACTCGCCTGCTCAAACATTTTCCTCTCAAAAATCTGTCTCTTGATTTTTGCTGCGTTCATTTTTCGTTTGTTTACCTTTTGATTTATGTGTCTTTCTTCTGTTTTCTTTTCTCTCATACTGTCCTGTGAGTTTATTGTTGGGTGTGAAAAGGTGAGACGTTAGACTCATAAGTTTAATGAACCCGTATTGATCCCCTGAAAGAAAATACCAGACCTCTGTGCTGTCATGGCTCCAAGCCCAACTCATCGCTCCTCCGCACGTTTCAATTTACACACAAACTTATTGAAAAATCTGGATTGAAGCTGCGCGTCCGCTCATAAACACATGAATTTGAAGATGGCACTCATGTCCAAAGATCCAGTTTAACTGCTGTGGTATTTTCTTCATGACTCCCTTAAGAACAACCTCCTTTTTATTTTAGTTTTCCTCTCATAAGTAGCGTACTGAGCATTACTATTCATTTTGAATCTGCCAAATGTATCTCATAGATTTCCCACAATGTTTTTCTTAAATAGCTCAGAACAATGTTGTCCACGGCTCATTGAGTCCGTCAGAATGTTAACATGTCTTGCTCAGCGGGGTTCATAGTTTTCCCTGTAACAGTTACTTCCCCCTGTGTCCCTGCTCCTCCCCGAGTGCCCGTGTCATCGTACACGACTGCGGGGTCGTAGGTCAGCTCATGCTCCGTCCTTGTTCTGTTGCTCCCCTTTGCGTCTGCTCTCCCGCTCCTTACTTCTCCTTCTGTAGCTGACTGCTAGGACTCACTCGAGTCTCCGCTCCTGGCTCCCTGCTGACATAAGAAATGACAATAGCAGCAAGTCGGAGCTGTTTTTTATTAACTATATGAAACAACGGAAATCAATTTAAAAACACGTATTTTATTTGAGCCACGCCATTCCCCCTGCTGCCGTCTGAACATGTTTTTCTCTCTCAGGCATTATAAAAAGCGATGCCAGGGGCGGATGAGGAAGCACGTCGGGGACTTGTGTCTGCAGGCGGGCATGCTGCAGGACGCCCTGGTCCACTACCACATGGCTGTGGAGCTGCTCAGGGGCGTCAATGACTTCCTCTGGCTGGGTGGTGAGTCGGCAGAATGGCGGCTTAGTTCTATAAAATAGGATTTACAAGGCTAGAATTACTTTATTGCTGTTAGTTTATGAAATGTATCAGCGTCTGGCCGATACTGGACTTTTGAGGTCAATAATACCAGTATCGAGATTTGATAGTTTGTTTTTTAATGTAAACACATACAACACAAAAGCATCCTTGTGACAAACGTGTACCGAGATTTTACAGATGAAAAATCTCTGATTTAGAAGCTATATAATTACCTCAAACAAATGTTTGGTATTTCACTGCTGCAATAACATTGGCCTTGTCAGTTTATTAGCAGTGTGAACATGAAGGCTTGAGAACTTTAATGATCCAGCGAGCTTCAGAGGCTCCTGCAGAGACCGATGAAGAACAATGAATAAGAAATGGAACGTTTGTCTTCTATTATTCGTGCCCCTCCAGCTGCGTTGGAGGGTTTGTGTTCAGCCTCCGTTATCTTCCACTACCCCGGAGGCACAGCGGGGAAGACTGCAGGACGAAAGCCGAGCATCTCCCAGCCGGCAGACGCAGGCAAACGCCACCGACCAGGTGAGCCCGTCCCTCTGTAACCAGACGGGTTAGAACAGTGGTCTGGATGGGACGATAACTGAAGGCTGCTGTCTGTGAGCTGTGACGAGTGAGAGCATCGCTGCTGACCGGCAACTCAAACACCGCTAAGCTTCGCTCAGCTAAGCTGCTTCCTTTGTGTGCAGAGTACAAGATGTGCATCCCTGATTGTGTTTCAACTTAACATCATTGAATCTGTATTAACATGGTGTTACATTAACACTGCCTTGGATGTAACTACACAACAAGAAGAGCATTGTGTTTGAATCCCACTTTGAATATAAGCAATGATAAAGAGCTGCTTTTATGATGTTCTCTGAGGACTGCATCATTTATTACATTATTGATTCATTTAGTACAGATAATTATTGTTTAATTGTTGTCTGCTCAATCAAGGCTGCTCCCGTGTTCTGCGATGTAAAATTCCTGTTTTTAATAATGGAGACTGGTGGCTTTGAAGAGAGCATAGAATGAATATAACGGAGTCAGAAAGGGCTGTCTGACGGCAAGGTAAAATGGTGAAAATATTATATACATATATACCGTTATTGGTTACGCCCCCGTCCACAGCAGCATATTGCTCCGGTGCCTGTTTACGAGCTAGAACTCTTCTTCTTTGCCTTTGTGCCGGACGGTTTATCACACCACTATTGTGTGCGTGTGTGCGTTCTTCTGCACCTGCCAATGAAACCAGGACCCACCCACTAAAAATGGAGCCACTCAAGGTTGTTTTGGTTGCATGCAAAAAGCTTATCGTCACTCTTAATTAGTGTATTTTAGAGGAGAACTGCTGGAGCCATTCAGCACATTGTTGGGACTAACTCTGCTAACATTGTGCCTTGCGTCATGGAGTGAATCTGCATTCTTTCTCTCTGTCTGTAGGAGCTCAGGAGGTTCTCATTGACCCAGGTATGGTATGTCTAACCAACATAGCTCTTGTAGACAACAATCTGCCTCATTGCTTGTGGTCGAGTTTCCCCCGTGTTTGATGTAATTTTTCATCTCGCATCATCAGCTTCCTGATTGGTTTATTTTATCCTTTGACATTTGATTGATGTTTTTTTCCCCTTATGGCAGGTAGTGTTCTCTCCTGTGTTGGTTTACCGTCACCTTTATTGTTTTTTTCCTAACGTACCTGCTCTTTCTCACAGCCACACACACATCACATGACTACAACTAAAGACTTTAAATGGTCCCCCTTACTAGCTTCTATTTTTATTTATTGAGGCCTCATATTGTTCTAACAGCTCACATCTTACTCCTGATTATTACACAAAGATCACTTAACCTGATCAAAGACATTTCAAATGTTTTCTTAGCCGTTTGAACACAAAGTTAAGTATCTCTAGAAGCACCAGCAGGTGGCAGCTCATCACCAGTGCTGCATACTTTCATCTCCTGCTTATTGCTCACTGTTACTGACCCACTTTCATAACCTAAAAAATAGAAAGTGTATTTTTCTGTAACTTGATCACCTCAGTAATTGTCCAGTAATTTAGCTTTGAAACATTTCAGGTGCGGGTTTAGCTCCGCCTGGACGTTTTGCCTCGAGCACCATGTCGATCACATGTTAGAGGCCTCAGAATATTCACGACATCACTTCCTGCTGGTGTAAGGGAGCGCGGGACGATTCGGTGCTTAACATTTACATTTAGTTGTAAAATGGGTTCATCAGGAGGCAACAGAGCTGGGAATAAAATACACATTTCACAGTTTCATTGAACATCATCTGTTATCTGATATGTGAACATGCATGTGGCGGTTGTAGCCAGGGCGGATTGGTGGATTTAAGTTTCCCCTCCTTCACTCGTTTCCTTTCCTTTTGTGCTGGAGCAGACTGATGGTGGTCACCGTGGTGTCCTCCTCCACACTAATCCTGTCCCGTCCTCTTTTGAGCGTAGGCACCCTCACGGCCAACGGCATCAGTGCAGACACCAGCACTGAGATCGGAAGAGCAAAGAACTGCCTGAGTCCTGAGGACATTATCGAGAAGTACAAAGAGGCCATCTCCTACTATGGGAAGGTAATCAAACACTACGGAAGTCTTTTAATCAGAAATTCAACCAATATTGTTGTTGGATTAAAGATATTAATGGGTAATATCAGGCTTTTTAATATAAAAGCATTTTATTAAACCAGTATTCAGTACATGAGATATAAAACTTACAATAATTATGCGTAATATCAGACATTTGTTGGGGTTTACATGAACACCTTTATATACAGTATATATACCTACACAATAAATACATTGCAGCATAATAATGTATTTGTAATAAAGGTTAGTATTGGCTCAGTGTATCAGTCAAAGCTCAGTATTGTCCTAATACTCAGTGGAGGACTGTTAGTTTCAGTTTAAAAAACTTTATTGTCCGTCACACAATGATGGAGAATTGTCTTAAGTTTGAGGCTCTCAAACACAAAAACATTCCGTCAACGAATAGGAACTGTTGTGTAAAGATGCATTAAAATGAAGTGACGGTCTATTGTTGTTTTAAAATGGATATTATAGTTTTTATAAGTTCTCTCACTAGTCTGTTGTAAGTCAACTGAATGTATGAAGCACTTTTCAAGGCCAGATATCGGCGAGTGCGTCACAGTGAAAGAGCAGAATATTAACGCAGTAAATAATCTCAAAGCAATTAGTACGTCTTGAGTTGCCCTTTTAAAGGCAAATATCTTTTATCTTCAAAGGGAAGTCTGATTATATGCTATTTATTTTCCTTATTGTCAACAAGACTGAATCCAGAATTCATTCTTGCCTGATATGTCTTACTCCTTTGTACCATCGAGCTCCTTTGTTGTCCCTAAACTCTTGAAAGCACATCAATGAGCCAGCGTATTAACAAGTCTTAGAAGTCAATTTGCAAAATTCCGAATTTTCTTCTTGCCTGCTGTAAGAATAATGTTACTTATTAAATCCGTCATCAGACCCGTAGCAAACCGCTGCTAGCTACGTTAGCACAGGAAGCTTATTGACTCTCTCGGGGCTTGTGTCAATTTTAGCAAAACGGTCAATTAAATTAAATGATTTAATCATTTTAAATGATTGATTAATCCACCCACTTATCCCGATGTCATTTTTCATCCTACGTCATCAGCTTCCTGATTGCTTTGGTTTATTTTATCCTTTGATAATTGATTGCTGCTGTTTTCCCCTTGTGGCAGGTCGTGTTCTCTCCTGTGTTTACCGTCACCGCCCAGATCTCATTATTGATTTCATTATATAATAAGGAGTTATTGTTTTGTACTGCTCGGGATCTTTGAAACAAAAAAAAAAAGAATAAATATAAAATAATATTGAGATTATTAGTATTAAATTACATTTTATGTTGAATTAAATAAAAAGTGTTACATTTAAGCAGAAAATTTGATTGTAGAAAATTGTTGAGCCTTTAAAATTAAAATTAAATAAATAGTTTTGACCTGTTTTGAAAGATCTACATCTTCATGAGGAACAAATGAGTCAAAAGCTCCTTTCTAGGAAAGAAATGTGACTTTAGGTGTTTTTCTCTTGATTTTATTTTGGGTAAAGAGACGGGATAAAGACACTCCAGAGCTTTACAAGTGATCACAACAACCTTGAATTGGATTTGATGAGGAGCCAGTGTAAGAAAATCCAGCTCAGTGCCACATGAGACCACTCATCCCTCCAGATAAAGATGAATAGACACTGTACATGAGTGTTTGCATGCAGGTTGCTCTTCAAACTAAACCACCACTGGTTTGCAGACATGTAGGTACATGCGGTGTGTGTAATATGCATCCGTGTCACCAGGGGGCAGTGTTTGATTAGGTTTGATGGCTCCTGAATACAGAAACGACACTGTATCAGACCACTACATGCTGACAGCAGCTGTTTATTTCTGAGCTACATGGAGACTTGGGAACAAGCCTGAGAGCTTGTGTAATCTCTGGAAATAATAGAACCTTACTAGTCAGTGAACACCTTATAAAAAGCAGTTTTTGACAGACTGAACCATATGAATGCTGTATCGGTGCGTGGCGTAATACATTTGTACTCTCCTTTGACCACTATACTTGTACAAAGTCACAAAGAATAGTATTAAAGTATCCTTGATGCTTAGGGAAAGCTGAATAGGCTCATTATGCTACCAAACTATTCTGAAGCAACCCTGTGCTTTATCTTCATTATTATAATTGCCTTTTTGCACTGACCTCCCCTCAGCCCTTTTACCTGTAACTAGCTCATTCAGAATTAAATTACGTCAGAACACATAGCCATTCAGATATTAATTGAATTTTAATAAGGACACAATGAGGGTGGAAGTTGAGGGACTGCGAGATAAAAAAAGAGAGAAAAAAGCACACACTTGCTCGCAGCGTGAAGCAGCAGCAGCTCAGGTTCTTTTTTTAATCCCTGAGAAAGGAGCAGCAGGGGATCGGACTCATCACACTCGTCTGTCATCCCACATCGGCAGTGACTGATGAGGGTGCTCATATGTTAATGAAAACACATTCTCTCTGATTATGAGGTGGGTCGCCGAAGTCAAGGCGACCCTCATTGACTGTTCGTGTTTCATCAACTGAAGCCGCCCCCCCCTGCCTTCCGCTCCTCTTTATCTCCCGCAGTATAAGAACGCCGGCGTGATCGAGCTGGAGGCCTGTGTGAAAGCGGTCCGGGTGCTGGCCATTCAGAAGAGGGCGAGGGAGGCCTCCGAGTTCCTGCAGAACGCTGTTTACATCAACCTGGGACAGGTACGCTGTCTGACCCACTTCCATCAACACCGGGGGATTAATATGACAAAACTCACACAACATCCTTGTTCAATGTAACTTGGTGTCACTAAAACAGTACATTTCTTCTTTAGCGTAAGACTTTTGTTATTTAATTCGTCCTCTATCTAGTGCGACCTATGCAGCCAATTCATTTTCTTCAAGACTTCCCCACTGAGTTCAGTGAATCATCCTCTCTGTCTCTGCTTTTACATCTGGATACATTGGAAATAACTATCATACTATAATTAGTGCATTAAGGCCTGACCTGTGCAGCTATAAGTGTAGAGCAATCTAGGTGAAAGAGTTCTTTGTCGTCCTTCAAGCACTGCACTAGATGTCACAGCCCAACATTTGTGTTCGGATGGTTAAAGATCGCCTCCAGAGATGTTTGAGGAGATATAAAAACACTCTGCTGATATGTTTTTCCACAAACAAAAGTTAAAACAAATGAAAAATGTAACTCCTTCTCCCTCACATCATTCTGCTCAGCGAGGTGAGTGAATTTGAGCGGAGGTGGATGTTAACGTTGTCTCCACACCTGTAGCTATCGGAGGAGGAGAAGATCCAACGCTACAGCATCCTGTCCGAGCTCTACGAACTGATCGGCTTCCAGCGCAAGTCTGCGTTCTTCAAGCGCGTCGCGGCCATGCAGTGCGTGGCCCCCACCATCCCGGAGCCCGGCTGGAGGGCCTGCTACAAGCTGCTGCTGGAGACGCTGCCTGGGTACAGCCTGTCACTGGATCCCAAGGACTTCAGCCAAGGTAGATCTCACATATTGCAGTCTCGCAGTCAGTGCGAGACCCCGCCCTCTGCCTGCATTCTCTCCTTTCCTGTTAATTGTTTAATTACCGTGTCAGTGACGCTCCTGGGCGTTTCTCGGCCCCTCTCCAGCTGTCGCTCCTCAGCGTCGTGTCTCTCGGGGCTCTGCTCTGGCTGATGCTGTAATCGGTGTCGTCTGAGTTGAAATTTCGGGAAGACACAAATACTGAGCCGGTTAGGTCTCTGCTTACCAACCTGGGAGTCCCGACTTCCATTAGTGGTCACCAAAGCTTCCTAGGAGGTCGTAAGGCCTTCTAGATTTGAAAGGGTTGTAAAATAAAAACAAAAAAGCATTTCATTCATTTCTGTGAAGAAAACGAAATCACAGGGAAAGGGCACAGTGAAGACCTGAACACAAGCCTTGTCCCGCATGAGAAAAATATGCAGTTAACACAATCAAAGAGCTAATAAAACAACAGACAAAGAGCTTTATCTATTTATTTTAGGGGTCACGAGTCGATCAGTGCTTATTTTATATCAGTGAAAAGGAGTAAATGTCACAGAATGAATCTTTTTCAAACACTGAAAGCAGCACCGTCTCTCATGATTCACATTGTGTGAGTAGCAGCAGTGTAAAGACGCTTCATTCCTACTCCAGCTCTGCTGTCTTTTTCAAGAGTGCTCTTCCACCGCGTTCTGCATTCAAGCCACCACTTCTCTCAAACGGAGGCGCAGTGGAGACGTGCCCCGGGTTTTTGTGCAGTCTTTGGTGAAGTCCTCACGATAAGCCTCTTGGCTCTACAGACTATTGACCCGCACTTATTGGAGAGCCTCTCGATGGCAACACAAAAGACGGAGCTCCCGGTGAACGGAAAAGCTCCGGGACAGTATCTCCTCTGACCGGTATTCAGGCGATGCTGTTGGAGGACTTTTCCCAGCTTTTAAACGTCTGGACTAGATTCTTTTATGAACTGTGAATAAAAACAAGCTGCAGATTGAGTTTAAATGTTTGCACTTCGACTGTGAATGTGAACATGCAGGATCCTTCACACCAATAGCACGGAACTATTGACATTTACTACTCCTATAAAAAAGAAAGTCAAGCAATTTAATACAATAGCAATTATCTCTCCATCAACCAACCACCAACATTTCTTTTCTAATTACATTGCTCCTAATGATGAAGCAACTTTACATTTGATGTCATCTGTCAATTTAAAACTGCCAAATCTGCAGAAAATGTCTTCTCTTGGTGACTCTCGGTGAACGAAATAGATTTAGAGTTTGATTGATTCCACTGCATTTTGTTCATTGAACAAAATCATTAATTTCTCCAGCAGGCGTGCGCGTGTGATTACATGTGTGATCTTTTAATCTACGCGTAACAATTTCTGCATACTTGCATTCAAGTAATCTAGTTATTCCACTACAATAAGATTATTTCTTCCAATCTAAACCGAACAAAGTTGGAAAAAACTAAATCATCGCTTAAAGAACAGAGTCTTTTTTTGAGCTTGTGTCTTGTTACTAAAGGGCAAACAGAATAACTTTTGGGATCGTCATGTAGACTAGTAGATGTTTTTTTATATATTTTGACTTTTTGCTTCTTATGCAATCCTGCACATTACAGTACAAAACATACTTTCCATGTTGCAGTCTGCAGGTAGCACACAGAAACCCACATGACACGCATGAAGGCGGTCTATCACGTATTGCTATCTAATAATCCCCTTCATTAATATATTAGAGGAGCTACCCCACATTTCAGTGGATTTTGACTCTTTCAGTTTTGCTAGCGTTGCCTCATATCAGGCTGTAACCGTCATCATTTGGATCCAGTCCTTATAACAAGGCGTGCTTGTAGTTTCCAGTTAATCCTGAATGCATTGATGAAAGCCTGTAAGAGCCAGCCATGGAAACTGTGCCTTTGTAAGTCCAGCTGGTACAACAGAGTCGTCTCCAAGAAGGCCAAACCGTGGCGTGCTTGTCGTGGGCTGATCCAACCACTCGGGCAGAGCTCCAAATTGAGGACATCCCGTTGTCCCGCCGGGGTCAATAGCAAAGTAACCTGGGACACAGAAATACGGTGTCTGGGACAGCAGAGAAACATATCAAATTCAATTATTACCTTTTCAGTTGGGACCAACTTGTTTGACCCTCTTGCACATATATTCACTGCACAAAGCATTGTGGGTCAGAAGAGTCACAAAGGAGGAGTTTGCCCTCAGGACTTTCTGCCAGAAAGGGTTTATTTTCACCAAAAACACGATCAAACCTCTCCCGTGTGCTCAGGCAAGCTGCAAATGCGACCATGTGCAGTCACACACTGCCTTTGTGTAAGGCAAAAAAAGGTTTACAAAATAAATGTATGGGTATTGGAACAGACAGGTCGGTAGTCAGATGAAAATGCCGATTAGCACGCTAGCAATATTAGCTCCTATTTCAATATAGTAGCAGCTAATACTGTGTTGCTCGTATGTTAAAGCTGAAACTAACTCTGCATTAGAAGTAGAGGAGCTTTTGGATTATAGTTTGTAATAAATGGTTAATAATAAAACTGAAAAAGGGCTTACATTTCCAGCACTCACTGCTTTTTAAGTCTGACTGGAATCCAATAATATCTATGAATCATTCTACCATGTACACATTTGTTCGTACTATCCCGTACTGGATAATAATGTTACAGACAATATTCTCCCAGAACTTTTTGTTCTCAGTGTGATATTACTGAGTATTAAGTATTCCATCCATCCATCCACGGATAACAAATACTCTAATATTGTACTATCTACTATAGTACTTCCTTGCTCTTACAGGTACAGGTAATGTTTTTGGCAGTTTTAATTTACAGTAAGGCTAATTATCAAATCATCATTCAAAAGTAGAACATAAGAGAAAAAAGGAGTTTAGGTTCCAGATATATTGGATAACACATAGAAAAACATTAAAGTATGCAAGTTCCCACTTTGTTATAACACGGACAAGAACTGGAAACGTTTCCTTGGAGTCAATTAAATTCTTCGAATAACTTTTTTCCCATACTCTTTTGCAAATGAATACATTTTTGACAGTTCTTTAAGTTGATTCTTCCAGGCCTTGGACCCGTCTTTAGACACAGGGAGAGCTTTAGTCCACGAAGCTGGTGAGCTTGAATAACACACCTTAAACATACTGGTTTATTAGCTGTAACGTTCAAGTTCCCACTGAGGTCCTGGTACATCCACTCTGAGTCCCCACAGCACTGATGGCAGAAGAAATCAGACGGGAGTTCATCAATAAGCCGGAGAGGCAAGTTCAAGTGAGACAGAAAATGGGCATCGATGGTGCCCTCCAATAAGGATGCTGTTCTGTTGTACAGTGGAACAAATGGCTTTTTAAGTGCCTTTTTTCACCAGAAACTGGGAAGCACTTTAATCTTCTCCACTGTTGTCCTGCCGCCATAGAAAAGTTGGTAGTTTTGTTTCTTGTAATAATTTACACGTTTATTGTCGGGGAGAATAATAGTCCAGTATGTGGCATCTCGTCACCCTGCACAGCAGAAAACACACCCCGATGAACAGCGCCTTCTGAGCCAGGCTTTGCATGGCGGTGCCACTCTCTCATTATCTCGGCGCTGTGTTAAATGGATTTCCAGACACCTCCAGTTCAGATGAAGTAATGTATTCTTTTTCATGTTCGAGTGAGAGAGACATTCTCAGGAAATCCAAAGTGCCCTTTTGGATTACTGTTCTCCAGATAAGCGCTGGTTTTGGCAAACAGGTGGAAGTCAGCTATTTTTAGACTGCTTAGTGGGTGCAGTTTCACGACAAACTTTCAAGCTTACGAAAGGAATCGCATCTACAGTTTGTTCAGATGGAGGAAGAAGTCAGGATGAACAATGGCCGTGGTAGAAAAATGCTGATAAGTCAAAAGCATCCCGGGCATGATTTGACGTTATTGGACGTGGTATTTAAGCGGAGGAAACATCGGAGTGTTTACCAAATCTCCTTCCTTCCTCCCTCCGGCCCCCGCGGCCTCCTCAGCACATCTTTCCTCTAGTTTTCTTTTCCACTTAGTGAGTCAACAGTCGACAGCTGGGAGTGGAGCAGGGGATCTCGTAGGGGGCTGAGGCTCTTATGTAACAGTTGGTGTCAGGCTAGAATGCTATTAAGATGTCTTGTGGAGCTCCGCAGAGCAAAAAACAAAACCCCACACTGGCTAAATTAGCAGCGCGCTGGAGCACATGTGACAGGCAATGGGGGTGCTTCAGTTTTCAGAGATGGCTGCAATGAAAAGACTTGAATTAGATCTAATTATGTGTGGCCTTTTGTGTGTGAAGCGTGCCAGATACAGACTTATGAAGGTTTGTCACGCACTTGTTGCTGCTGCTCAAGCGTTAATGCTCACTGTCGCTGAATACATCGGAGAGTAATTATCAGGAGTCATTGTGTTCTGAAATTAGGGCAGGGACATGACATCATTATCACTAAATTACATAGGATATCTTTTTCCAATATGAGTATATATATCAAGATGCAAAGTTGGTCTAATTTATGTTCAGTGAATTGATCTGTGTCCCTTTATCATTCCCAACATCAGATGAAATATTAAACAATAACTTTAATAACCTAATTTGTTTTTTGATTACAACATACAGGCGTAATAAAGCGATATGATCTTGTCGCCACAATATGATTTTGCTACAAGTTCACAGTTTATTCTGTCAAATTGTGATAAGTAAATTGCATCAAAGCTGCTTTGGAAACTGTGATGACAGAAAACCTCATGAGGTACAAACTGTAAATAACTTTCATATGAGACAAAGAAAAGCAGAAAATCCTCACAATGCTGCAGCTATATTTATCTGGAACTTTACTTTACTTGCTTGAAAAATGATTGAAACAATTAGAGTAATTGCTGTCAGACAAAATAATTATTTAATTAAATCATCACTTCACCTCTAAGTATTAACAATGCTTTATTGACAACAAAGGTAAACGACGACTTATATATATCTATATCTAGATCTCTATATCTAGATCGATATCGATATATATATATATATATATATCTATATATATATCCAGAACAGGTTTAAAATATGTTAAAAGATAAAGAGCAGTGAGTTAGGATAGGAACTGGTGGAGCCACATAGGTTGCCATCTCACAAATATCAGAAAACACTATGTTTGATCCACACATGTAGAATATTCTCGATGCATCTCTACTCCTCTGATGTGTAACATTCAATGTCAGCAATGATCCTCTGCAGCTCATTGTGAGTTCTCTCTCTCTCTCTCTCTCTCTCTCTCTCTCTCTCTCTCTCTCTCTCAGGTACCCACCGAGGCTGGGCCGCCGTCCAGATGCGCCTCCTGCATGAGCTGGTGTACGCCTCCCGTCGCATGGGCAACCCCGGCCTGTCTGTGCGCCACCTGTCCTTCCTGCTGCAGACCATGCTGGACTTCCTGTCTGATCAAGGTCAGCTCCCAATAAGCACTATTACACTTTCTCTTTCGTTGTAGAATTCAAACCGTGTGAGGTGCTTCCAGCTTCATGCCCAGCTCTTTAAAAAAAACAAATCTAACCCTCAAACCTTGTGCTTAATAGTATGCGATGCACAACAAAGCCAGCTTTTTCTTGGCAGGAGTGCAACATTGTGCTCCGACCAGAAATCGTGTGCAGCCAGGAGATAGAGTTTCTACTGAAGCAGTGTGAGCCTGACGGTCCGCTGGCCGCACAATACAGGCCGGCGTAATGCTTGGTTGGCTGCTAAGCATGAAAATATAGGGGGGGAGGTATGAACAAGATGAAGCAAGCTTTCTGTTTAAATATTAACATCAGAAGCTGTGTTTAGGGTGCTGCTTATACAAGCGTTCTTAGAAACAGTGCCGGTTCATCCTCCCATTCATCAAGGGCGAGAAAAAAACCGATGGAATCACTACGGCCGAGTGTTTAAACTGACCTTGTAAGTCGAGTTCTTCGTCTTTTTTCTTTTGTAAAAATATAAATACCATTTCATATTTACTCAGTGTAACTTTTGGAGCTCAGAGCGCTGTTCGCTGCAGTTTGGGGGCCCTCCTTTGATTGCCTTTACTCTCGTCTGCAATGTGACATTACAAATGTCAGAAAGGTTGTTGTCGGTTGCTCAAGTGGAATAGTTCTCTTTTGATGCGTCTCTGGGTTTTTGTCTGTATATGTCCAGCATAGAATAGAGCTGGGCAGGAAAGGACTTCTAAGTCTCACAGTTATTGTAGTAAAGAAAGTCAAATTCAAAATGAAACTTTTAGACATTTACAAAGTTTTGACGGTCAAATGTTCACCATCATACAACACATACAACATATTGCAAAGAACAGTTAAATAGGATCAGTTTAAAGGAGTACTTTACTCACCACATGACCGTGGAGGCATGAGTGAAACACACAGTTTTCTTCAAGAACTCAAGGTAAGAAATTGATAAACAAACGGAAAAATATTCCTTTAGGAAATAAACACAACCGACAGCATATACGTTTCGGCCAATTCGGTCTTCACACACGGCTGATTTTGGTAACGGTGATGTAGTTTCAGGCCAATATATTCCCGAACTGGTAGAGAGGCAGAGGGGTTTCCTAATGATAGGGTGACGCTATATTGGGTCTAAATAAAGGAGAAGTGCGTCTATAGGAAAGTAAGAATTCCTACAAAGCTTTAAAAATACGTATTTATGTGATTCCATCCAGAAGAAGTTCAGCAACATTAGTTATTAATGTTAAGAAACCTCTTCTCTGATTATGCATTTTTGTAATATCAAGGGTGCTGTTTAATACTAAAGCATGTAATTGTGTGCCAACGCTTATATTAAAAAAATAGGATGTAATTGAAAGGGAACTAAAAATAGAAAGAGATAATTAGAACAGCTCCAGATATTGTCTCCCTGATAACATCACGTATTAGTGTTGGTTGCTAAAGTCTTCTTCATTTTGCAAATCCTGATTACACCGCCTGGGATTGTAGAAGAAAATACATTTTATCTTTTGTCGTTGCCAACTTTTATTTTTTCATTGTTTTTCAAAGGCTGGTTGTAGCTTTTTCAAATCAAGTCTGGTGTCATTAGATACATAGTTCGATTGTTTTTAAAGGCTTTTCAAGAAATAGAAATACGATTGATATTAATTACTTTTTGGTGCTTTATGGTGAATTTCATACCAGAATGATTATTGCCACTCTTTCAGTAGCTTCTACTCTGCAAGGAGTACTATTATTAGTCCTATTATTATTATTTATTTTGTTTATGCTGCTTTTTCCTTAAAACAAGCCAGAAAAATCTAAATTATTCATTAAAGTATTGAAATGTTTTGTGGCGTGTCGGTAGTTTTCATTTCACAATAAAAATGTGACAAATCTCCCTTTTGAAAATGTTCCCGTCGTCTGCGCCGTCATTAAAGATATTTGAAGCTTGAGACTCGCCTCTTCCCAGTAGTGTCTATGAAATAGTGTCTAAGAATGAGAAGTCTCCAAGCACAGCAAATACAGGACTCTCTGGGGGGGGAGTCAATGCAACCTCCGTTAGCATTAGCTGTTTAGCTCTGCGCTGTTGGCAGACGAGCCGATCACTGCGACTACTCTGAGCAGCATGATGGGAATGCATTACAACATACCGGGCAGTTGTTCCAATTGTTTTTAAGGTTTTTGCTCTGATCCATCGGTGCGTCTTCACGGACCTCTAGCATACATGTGCAATATGGTTTTCCCAATGTAATTCATCTACAATCATTTCATAAGAATTTACGTTCCATTTACATTCCATCAACTTCCGAGTCAGATTTGTTTTGGTTGCAAAAGACCGTGATGCAACTTTATTACATTAAGAGTGAAGCTGATTCAGCTGAAACCATTTAGAAATTTAATTTCACGGAGCTTAAACTTGCGAAATAGTTTCCCAAAGAAAACCCCTCAATTGACACTTGCTGCTTTTCGAATGATGTGTATATCTCGCCAAATTGGGTGACATTAATGTGTCTAAGTAAAAAAAGATGTCTGGCAGAATACCCCGAGCCCTCCCGTTACTGTCGCTCTAATTAGTGTGGTTTCTGTTTTTTGAGAAGTGAATATTCGGACACGTCATGCTGTTGAAGGTGCACGGATAATGAAGTGGTTACCGGCAAAGACAAGCAGCAAACCAACCTGTTAGACGGAGGCTGATTTTACCGGCGTACATTTCAGACAAGGTGACGTAAGCTCAGTGTTCAGAGGAGCCACGCTCCCTTTCATCCCGCCTTACACTCGTATTCTTCCCACTTGACGGGGGACACTTTGAGGAGAGATCCTTCCGTTGTGTTAAGAGCTGCACCGTTTCTCCCCTCTTTTCATCGAGTGTAAAAAAAACCACAATGTTTCTTTGCTTATCCGGACAGTGTTCTCCAGCTGTCAGCATAATAATGTGCTTCGGTGTGTTTGTCTGGGCAGAGAGCAGGAACAAGTCAGAAAATAGTGTTTCCTCTCGTGGGTTTGATTTATCTAAGGGCCCTGACATATAACGCTACTACGGACAAAGAACAACTAAACACATGTTTTGCTTCTGGTTAACACACGGCAGCAGAACACACCACAAACACTATAGCCAACACCCAGCTTTACCATATACTAACACCTGCGTAAGGGGAAATAATAGTCACCATTTTGTAATCCTAAAAGTATTGCCAAAAGACAAACTAAAACAAACTGCCATTTTAAAACCGCAGTGAATCCACTTCGACGGTGCTCTGGTGTCATTGGTGCCTGAAGATGTCGCGGTCAGATAGAAGAGAGATCGCACTCCACGGCTGGCTGAACAGTCTGTCAGATAGCGCTCCGTCACCGTCTGCCGCCCCCACTAATCCAACACGCTCAACGGCCTAAGCCTATAAGAGAGAATAACGTCGGGTTATTATTGTGTTTTAGTCTCGGCAAAACACTTTATGTGAACATAATCGACATTTAAACAGAAACACCCGCCGTCCTCGGCTTCCTGTCCCGGGGTGGCCCCTGAATAGACGGCTGCTCGGAACACTCAGACGTGGCAAACAAGGAATAAATATACGAGTATGCCATCAATCGTGAAAACTTTGAGCCAGGAATACAACTGAGCTATCACCCATTCATCTCTAGCTGTTTCATTCCTTCTACACTTCCCTTTTCCCTCTAAGCACCCTCATCTAACCGTGTGTTTGATCCACTGGTGGTGGGTCTCTGGCTCCCAGTCTGTATTAACAAGGCTGTGCTTTGTACACATATTTCACGTGGACAGTTTCCTCATGATGTTTTCACCCTTATACTCAAATGTTTAGCTGTTTTAATACAAGCATCTTCTCTCATATAGATGACATGTCCCAGTATTGTTTAGTTTAATGCACTCTGCCGTGGAGAAATACACTAACTTTACATGAATAAGCAAAAGTCACAAGACTTCAGAAGCTGCTCCCGTGGAGGTTTATATATCTTTGCAGTCTTTCTAAATGTCCTTCTCTCCTTGATCAACACTCTTGAAACTTGCAGAGCCAAAGCAAATTCTTTGGCTGGCTGAGCAGTAATGTTCCCTCTAAAGCTATTGATGGTACAATAAAACTTTCAATTTCACTTGAAGGCTGTTATTGCAGAGACGCAGACAGAGACGCCTCACAGGTCATTAATGTCTGCTAGATGATATCACAGACACAAAGAGGAACTCTCTCCAGTGGAGGCAGTCATCACATTATTTGAGTGTGGGGAACTTTAAAAGGGAGTTCTGTTATGTCATAATTGTTGCCGTGTGATCTTTGGATAATTGTGTGTGTGTGTGTATGTATGTATGTATGTGTATGTATGTGTGTGTGTGTGTGTGTGTATGTATGTATGTATGTGTGTGTGTGTGTGTGTGTGTATGTATGTATGTATGTATGTGTGTGTGTGTGTGTGTGTGTGTGTGTGTGTGTGTGTGTGTGTATATGTATGTGTGTGTGTGTGTGTGTATGTATGTGTATATGTATGTATGTGTGTGTGTGTGTGTGTGTGTATGTATGTATGTATGT